TTTAACCCCGCCACATTCTGTAAGTGATTGTCCCAAGTCAAGAGCCTGTAGTTCAGTGGTTGTCGTTTGTTGCTGTATATCATATTTGTTTTTCGTTCATTATTTTGTACATAAATCAGGCCATTAGTTTTCTCGTTTGAATTGTTTTACATTTGTCATTTCGGTGCCTTTTATAGCTGACTATGCGGTATGGGCTTTGCTCACTGTTGATGGCCGTACGGTGACCTATTGTAGTTGTTAATTTCTGTGTCATTTGGTGTCTTGTGGAGAGTTGTCTCATTGGCAATCATACCAAATCTTCTTGTTTTTATATTTCAGTCGAACCTCGCCGACCTAGATACATAACAGCGGACAAAGATCGATCCCTTTTCAAGTTCATTTCTCCTTCTTTGAATTTTTCAGTGATTTGACCTCCTTGGTATCTTTCTGTTTTCCGAATCAAATCTCTCCGTAAACAAGAAAATAGAAGTTGACCCGAATGACGGAATGTCCATCTGTTTTTTGTTCCAAAAGAAAAAATGTACATAACGTATTTGTACATGAAGATAAACGCAATGCAATTTTATCTAAAACAAATTTGTACAGTCATTTTGTCTTAATATTTTGTATATTCATCATCCGTGTCCCGTCGTATGTTTATTTTTCAAAAATCTTTTTCACTGAAAACCAACTGATTATAAAGATTTGTTATGGTAAAAGAATTTATATCAAATTCCGTATATCATTGTGGTCTTTACTTGAAACAGAATATTGGAGAAATATAAGAAACGATTTAATTAAATAATGAAAATATTTTTATAAGACAAACAACATGCACACCTTACCTCATCGCTCAACTGGTGAATTAATCGCCAGTTTGCTAATTAGGACTTTTATGTACACACATTATAGTTACTATTTGAGTTGTTGATCATTTTTGCAATTTAGGGTTAGAGTTAGCCTACTTCCTACAGGTTTTTAGATAACAACCAAAACTGCAAAAACAGTATAAGTCAACAATTCAAAGGGCAATAACTCCAAAATGGATTGTTAAAATACTGTAAATCAACTAACTTTCGCGAGCAATTTATTTTCGCTACTTTCGCGAGTAGAAAAATAACGCAAATATAAATCGTCGCGAAAATTCAAAACTTGGATCTTTCGCTACTTTCGCGAGTAGAAAAATAACGCAAATATAAATCGTCGCGAAAATTCAAAACTTGGATCTTTCCTTATCTAACTACATCCAGTAAATTTGAAAATCGTGAAATTAATTCGCCGCGAAGTGGGCTAGACAGAGCTAAACGCGAAATAAAGTATCCGAGAAAATAAGTTGGTTTACGGTATAAGAGTAGAGATAGATCTTGTCATGCTGATCATTTTTAAGTTAACACTTTTAATCTAGCTCCTATAATTTTCAAAATAACCACAAAAAATAGAGAAAGTGGGGAAAATGCATATTTTAGGAGCAATAACTCAAAAACAAGTAGACAGATTTATCTGAAATATTTAGGGTTAATAGATCTTGTCTTGCTTGTCATTTTTTTTTTTGGTGATTTACCATAGCTCCTATATTTTTCACATTAACAGTCAAAAACCGTGCAAAAGAAGATTATTTCAGGGGTAATGACTCCAAAACAGATGAACAGTTTTTCTCAAATTTTCAGGGTAGATACATTATGTCGTGCTGAACCTTTTTGCAATGTACAGAAGTAGAATGACGATATAAGTTGTCTTGTAAATGACAATTCTTGCCAATAAATTGCATTTTAATAATCAAGTTTGTTAATGTTGGTAAATATTTACGACTCAGACCACAATTAAATATTGAAATTAGTAAAACATGTAAAACGTAATTTTGAAATGTATCAGTTGTGATTAAGCCAAAGGGAATGTAGCGTATATTCCTTCGGCATTTATCTTTGCTTTAAATCACACCTGTTTATTAAAATAATAATGTTCTGTGTCTTTTATGAGCAGGTGAATTTACACGGCTGTCATTCGGTATATCGAGAAAAATGATCGTGAAAGAATATTAAGTAACGGTGGTCAAGTATTGCGATTGGATCGTGAAAGATCTGGTATAGGATCGTGAAGGAAATCTTATCGAGAAGACACATGCAACGTCAGTAAATAATCCAATTTAATCAATTATAATGACAAATATTGGAAAATAAAACTATCTGTCAAAATGGTTCAACATTATGACCAGTATCCGAGAAAAATCATAGCTTAAAAGAACACCGTGTTTGCAAAACCTCAAAAGGCAGATGCTCATCGAATTTTCAAAGAAATAAAAATGTAAACAAACATACTTTTTTTCAAATTTTTAATGCATGAACTACTTTTCTCTTAAAAATATCGTTCAATATTACTGTATAACATCGTTTTTAAAGTGACTTTGATTTATTTTAATCAGAAACTTTGCAAAACTGGTAATATTTACAAAAATTTGATATTTCGGATCGTGAAAGATGGGGTACCGCATTTTGATGATCGGGAAAAAGAAAATGACATATCTTTTGCCGCTTATTCGTTATTCGAAAACGATCATTTCTTTTTTTAATACATAATGATTTATATTTGTTATTGATATAACAAAAGATTCGATTTGCATGACTTGTTCACTTTTATGTGTGAATAGGGCTATGATGGTTTAATGCCATTGGATCTGATTATTTGATAATACCACACCGACTAGTTTTCTTATAACAATATAAGTCCGTCTGTCCCTCCTGCACAAATTTTATGCCGTTTGAAAAGTTAAGATTGTCTCATCTGATTTCCATTAATTTTTAGGCTCAGTAATTTCTATCAAACGAAGAACCTTGTTGATTTTTGTAAAATTGAAGAAAAAAAAAACATTGTCTAAAAAAACATTGTCTAAAAAACCGCAGGAAAACAACTGTCATATTCCTGACTTGGCACAGGTATTTTCCTAAGAAAATGGTGGATTAAATCTGGTTTTCTACCTAGCTAATACGCCCACTTGTATGGCAGTTGTTTATTTTTCGGTTATATTGCCAAATTGGGTGAGCAACCCAAACAGACGTAATTGGTTAACATGGACATATATGGGATCCAGCAGCCAAAAATGTGTAAACATACATAATTCTTATATGATTTGCAAATTAGGGAATACGTTTATATGATTGGTCGAGAGGGCTTCCGGTAGTGGCTCTTGGAGTTATTTATTTTTCGATAGACAACGGAACTACTTTTTGTAACCATGTTAACAAGATGGCGACGATAACACAAACCGGCTCGACGTTAAAAATATATATTTTTTCACTTCGCGTTCATCGTTAAACTAAATAATAAACACAAAACATTCATTTGAATGATAATAAGATATGTTTGTAGTTTATTTTTTTCTTTTCAGATAGCAAATTTCATGGAGTACATTTTTTACGTTTACCATAAATATATTCATGCGCCAGGCCAATTCAATGACACAAATATACAATTTACGTGTGATAGAGGTTACGAGTGGTGAAATTGAATTCCTTATCTCCAGTTTTAAAGAATTATAAGGATTAAACGTATTTTAAAAGTAATTTTTTGGTGTATAAACTGGACCAAGTCACTCACAACCATAACATAAAATTCGGACTCTTATTTGTTTCTGAGTGAATTGGTCCAGTAAATACACTAATAAATTCCTTTAAAATGAGTTTAATCCTATAATCATAGACATACAACACAACTGAAATAACGTTCAAACACACTTACAATTAAATCAAACAAAGACGCCAACAAAAAGAATTTGTAGTTGATAATACTGCGCACGACTTTCAAACTCGGGTGCTCACGAATTTCAAACTGACGCGCACGACTTTCAAACTAGTGCTCACGACTTTCAAAAAAAGGTGCGCATGCCTTTCAAAGGGGTATGCATGACTTTCAAGAACAGGTGCGCACAACTTTGAAACTCGTGCGCACCAGTTTGAAATTCGTGAGCACCAGTTTGAAAGTCGTGCGCACCAGTTAAAAGGTTGTGCACACCAGTTATTGAAAGTGTCGCCTTTTGTGTTTTCCTTAAAAGTACTGCATTTTTTTTCCCTTTAACTTAGTGCACAATATTATTCAGATGGTTGAATCATTTGACACACATATTTCATTTTTCTGATTTGTTCAAACTTTTGAAATTATTTTTTACATATTTTGAAGTAGAATTACACTTAATTGCATTCACGTTCCGGTACCAGATTTTTCACGATCCGATCGCAATGTTTGACCACCGTTACTTATTCTTTCTCGTTCATTTTTCTCGATATACCGAATGACACCCGTGATTTAAGTATGTTTGAGCTGTTGCGATTTTTTTTAATTTAATTTTACCTTTCCGAAGAAAGCTCTGCGAAAATAGTTGTCGAATGGTCTGGGGACTTATACCATAACTTGAGATTCAAAATGGTCACCGGCCATATTTTTTTTTCAATCCCGAATCTACTTTAAATAATCAGCTTCTAGAAATTTAAAAAAAATCGCGGATTTTTCTTTTTGGTACGGATATTAGTGCTGCGACTAATAGATAACAAGTAAAATAGATCCCATTTGCATTCTTCTTTTTTATACTGGGATTCTGTTTCATCTTTTCTTTTAAAGAAAAATACATCATATCAACCCTTAATAATTCTTCTTTGAGACATAATTTATAGACTCTGATAATTTAATGTACGGTAGATCAAAAGCTACAGGTAAATAAGTAACTACGGGACACTGAAAAATTTATTAGTTATTGTTGAATAGTATTAGAAGTTTCAAGTTCCTTCATTGTATTAGTCCCGACTAAGTGTAACCATAGACATGTATATAACGTCTGGGACTTCTTTTATATACCCAGTATACAATGTATGAGGGTCTTGGTGGGGGTTTACATAAAAGAGAATAATGGGCGAAACTTTTAAAGAATAGAGAAAAATGGATACAGACGGATACAGGTTGTTATCTTAAGCGATTGAACTGCAATCTTTAGAACCGGAAACAGCTGTTGATAGTTTTCTCCCCCTGACTCATGTTACCCAGCATGCACCAGCACTGTCATCCTCGTTTGTAATCATAAATTTTGTAAATTTTTAACAAAATAATGACTTTATTTTCATTTTATATTGACAGAATACAATATCAAATATACTTAAAATCAAATATTTCATAAAATGTATCTTTGCAATACCACAGTCAACAACTTAAGATAACTTTCTTCATTTGTCTGCGGATGAGGATTGTCATTTTCGTTCAGGATGGCCTCCGTTAACGTTAGCCTGGATGATATAGATTTGTCTAGTCTCCGAGTAAGTATTAGTATTTAATCATTATTCTGGTATAAATATTTTGAAAACATAGTTATTTTGTATAATTTCTAATTTTTAAAAGGGTATTTTGACCGTTGAAAAAAGTGTAAACAAAGACTTGACACAAGGAAAAGCTTATAGTATTAACTTATACAGTTTTCACAACTATTAATCCGAAGTCCGATGACCCAACAGTAACAATCTTGTATATATATTTATAGTTATTCAAGATAAAAGGCATAAATTGACAGACACAATACTGTAAAAATGACATACAAATATAGACATGAATAGGATATTACCATTTACAGACACTAAAATGATTTACAGTTAAGATCACTAAAAATAATAATTTAAAAGATAAAATTATGAAAATTTTCATTATTTTAATTTTTTGACTAGACTGTAAATAATTAATTAAATGGACTTGATATCCACTGCAGCCTAATAATACCTTAGGATGACCCACAAAAGTTAATGAAACTTATTTCCAGTGGGGTCCTTTAACATGTTTAAAGAACCAATATCAGGATTCCAACTGAAGATTAACAAGCTTTGTAGAAATTTTGTAAAAAACTGATTTTCAGTTTAAAAAGTTTTTTGTGAAGGCTGCTTATTGCCCCACCATTTGCCCACTGCAAAATCTCCCTATACCAACTACATGTAGCTAATGGGATGGAGTGATATCCTGCTGAATGAAGATTTGCCTGTTTGCCTCACTTGGACTTATAAGTAGCATTTAGTAAAGTAAAATAATCACAACTTGGTACAGGTACAATCCAGAATCTCATATCTGTATGTTTTTAAAAAAAACTTGAAAGTGGAAAAGGTGTGCTGTAAATAAACTTTAAACTTTTATTGTTTGAGAATAAAAGAAGGTGAATTTCATAATATATTGTGGTTCCAGTATATATACGTACTGTACAATAATCTGTTTATTCAATTATTGGTTGAGAATATAAGGAATTTCATTACTTCCAAAATATGGATGTGTGTCTTTACTTGCATATGTTATATTAATGATACAGATGAAAATTTAACTCCTTTTCTTTATGGGGCGAGATGGCAGGTCTAAATTCTGCGGGATATACCATGTTTGGTAGGGCAAGATGGTACATGTACATTTGTAGGTCTAAACACAATAGGATTGACTTATTTTTCATAAGTGGGGCAAGTTGGCAGGTCTAATTTAAGTAGGGCAGTGTTCCAGCTAGGTCGTTTTCACAGGGCGGTCCGCCCGCCCTTTCCAGAGTGCCGCCCTGTGCCCTTTTTACAGTTTGCCGGGCGCCCTGCCTTTTTGAGATCGATTGGTATATTATTTTGTTCGTATTGATATCATCAGCCAATTACGAAAATTTACCTGGCGACAAGTATATGACTTTGTTTACGACCCCAAGCTAATCAACGGTTACAACAGGTGTCATAATCTGTTGTTATAGGTAATCTGTTTATCTGATGGGTCATTTAATGATCATCAACATTAATTCATTCAAATAGAATCGGTCAGTCGGCATTTGTCTTTGAACTTGAAGAAATGTTCATACAACTTGGGCACAATTAGCAATGTTTACCGTAGTTTCATGGAGAAAACGTAATTGACAGAAAGTCGAAAACCATAATCAACTCGTTAAAAACATTGCTCTTATTGTTTTCCGTGAAATAAATAGCAAATTAAAACGTATTTTTCATTGACTGCCTTGAATTTTTATACGAAAATAACAAAATTGGCCGCCATATTGTTGATCGTATTTACATCTTCTAAGTACTGTTTATTATCCTCCAAAGAAGGAGCACACCCAAATAAAGAAAGATAAATCAATCTTATTTTTTCCTAGCATTGAGTAACCTACATGTATTAAAGATATTATAAAATATGTCTTCATACTTCTGGCTTTAGAATTTATATGTTTAGGTGTTTTGAGTTATGGGAAAAGTTAAAGAGGGTCTTAGTAGCAGGGTTGGTAGGGTGCCTTGGTCATCTTTTTCTGTATTTTTTATTTTCAATCCAAATTTTCACTGTTCACTATATCCTAACATTGTGCATTTACAGCTGTTTTGTGCTGTATTTCCATTAAGCACAGAAAAGATAGAAAGGTGAAACTTGTAAAGTGTGTCAGACCATAGAAACAGAATGAAGCAGGACATTTTTCAAAAAATACTGCATATAAAGCTTAACTGTGCCAAGCAATGATTTAAAACTTGTGTGACAAGCTGCTTGATAAGTTTTCAGCCTAAAAAGTAGAAAGATAGTTTTTCTCTGGGCTAATGATGTTGTTCTTGTATATATATAACCAGTGATTCAATGAACAAACAATGTTTGATTATAATCTTTATTAAAACATGCCCTTTTCATATTATCATATCACACGTTAAATGGCCTTTTTATACGACCGCAAAAAATTTTGTGGGTGTATATTGGTATGACGTTGGCGTCGTCGTCCGGCGTCGTCGTCCGAAGACACATTGGTTTTCGCACTCTCACTTTAGTTTAAGTGAATGGATCTTTTTGAAATTTGACCATAAGGTTAAATACCACAAAAGGAAGGTTGGGATTGATTTTGGGGGTTAAGGTACCAACAGTTAAGGAATTAGGGGCCAAAAAGGGGCCAAAAATAAGCATTTTCTAGTTTCCAGGCAATAACTGTGGAACGGTGTATGGATCTCTCTGAAATTATACTACAAGTTTCCATACCACAAAGGGATGGTTAGGATTTGCTTTGGGGGGTTATGGCTCAAACCGTTTAGGAATTAGGGGCAAAAAAGGGGGAAAAACAAGGTTGTCCTGGTTAATGGACAAATACTTTAGTACAAAACATAATTTAAAGCAGTGTAAGGGAGATAAATCAAATACATCATTGAAATTATCTCCCTTACACTGCTTTTAAATTATGTATAAAGTAATGGTTAATGAACAATACAGATAATTTAAAACAGTGTAAGGGAGGTAATCCAAATACAACATTTTGGTTACTTCCCTTACACTGCTTTTAAATTATGTTTAAAGAAATGCATATTAATAAAGGAAGACCAGTAAAAATATCTGCAAATATTGCATCTTTTTTTTTTACAAAAAAATCCATATGAATGATTTGACACTATATTTTTTAATTCTATTATAAAATAGATTTTAAAAGTTAGCACTATGGTAAATTTAAATGGGTAATTATGGTTGCCAACTCCATTGGAAATTTGAATTGAGATTATGACCATATCTTGAAGGAAAGAATTTTTTAAGGGAAAAAAAGGGGGGGGGGGCAATTTTTTCTCATTTCAGATTTCAGAAATTAAAAAGAATTATTCCTCAAATATTATTTTTTTTTCAAATTTCAAATATTGAAAAATTTCAAGAAGTAATCTTTAATTGCACAGTATGGCGCATTAGATTTGTAAAATCTTTGATCACATTTATTTATTTGTTATGCCGAATCTAACAGTGTATTTAGATTTTTAATTTTGGGTCCAGTTTTCAAATTGGTCTACATTAAGGTCCAAAGGGTCCAAAATTAAAATTTGTTTGATTGTAGCAAAAATTGAATATATGAGGTTCTTTGATATGCTGAATCTAAACATGTATTTAGATTTTTGATTTTTGGCCCAGTTTTCAATTTGGTCCAAATTGGGGTCCAAAATTAAACTTTGTTTGATTTCAACAAAAATTGAATATATTGGGTTCTTTGATATGCTGAATCTAACCATGTATTTAGATTTTTTATTTGTGGACCCCGTTATCAAATTGGTTCATATTGAGGTCAAAAGGGTCAAAAATTAAACTTTGTTTGATTTCATCTAAAATTGAATTATTGGGGTTCTTTGATATTCCAAATCTAACCGTGTATTTAGATTTTTAATTTTGGGTCCTGTTTTTATACGACCGCAAAAAAATTTTGTGGTCGTATATTGGTATGACGTTGGCGTCGTCGTCGTCGTCGTCGTCGTCGTCCGGCGTCGTCGTCGTCCGGCGTCGTCGTCCGAATACACATTGGTTTTCGCACTCTAACTTTAGTTTAAGTGAATAGATCTTTTTGAAATTTTACCATTAGGTTAAATACCACAAAAGGAAGGTTGGGATTGATTTTGGGGGTTATGGTACCAACAGTTAAGGAATTAGGGGCCAAAAAGGGGCTAAAAATAAGCATTTTCTAGTTTCCAGACAATAACTGTGGAACGGTGTATGGATCTCTCTGAAATTATACTACAAGTTTCCATACCACAAAGGGATGGTTAGGATTTGCTTTGGGGGGTTATGGCTCAAACCGTTTAGGAATTAGGGGCAAAAAAGGGGGAAAAACAAGGTTGTCCTGGTTAATGGACAAATACTTTAGTACAAAACATAATTTAAAGCAGTGTAAGGGAGATAAATCAAATACATCATTGAAATTATCTCCCTTACACTGCTTTTAAATTATGTATAAAGTAATGGTTAATGAACAATAAAGATAATTTAAAACAGTGTAAGGGAGGTAATCCAAATACAACGTTTTGGTTACTTCCCTTACACTGCTTTTAAATTATGTTTAAAGAAATGCATATTTATAAAGGAAGACCAGTAGAAATATCTGCAAATGTTGCATCATTTTTTTTTACAAAAAAATCCATATGAAAGATTTGACACTATATTTTTAATTCTATTATAAAATAGATTAAGTTAGCACTATGGTAAATTTTAATGGGTAATTATGGTTGCCAACTCCATTGGAAATTTGAATTGAGATTATGACCATATCTTGAGGGAAAGAATTTTTGGGGGGAAAAAAGGGGGGGGGGATAAAAAGAAATTGATGGGGGTCAATTTTTTCTCATTTCAGATTTCAGAAATTAAAAAGAATTATTCTTCAAATATTATTTTTTTTTTGAAATTTCAAATATTGAAAAATTTCAAGAAGTAATCTTTAATTGCACAGTATGGTGCATTAGCATTAGATTTGTAAAATCTTTGATCACATTTATTTATTTGTTATGCCGAATCTAACAGTGTATTTAGATTTTTAATTTTGGGTCCAGTTTTCAAAATAGTCTACATTAAGGTCCAAAGGGTCCAAAATAAAACTTTGTTTGATTTTAGCAAAAATTGAATATATGAGGTTCTTTGATATGCTGAATCTAAACATGTATTTAGATTTTTGGCCCAGTTTTCAAGTTGGTCCAAATTGGGGTCCAAAATTAAACTTTGTTTGATTTCAACAAAAATTGAATATATGGGGTTCTTTGATATGCTGAATCTAACCATGTATTTAGATTTTTTATTTGTGGACCCCGTTATCAAATTGGTTCATATTGAGGTCAAAAGGGTCCAAAATTAAACTTTGTTTGATTTCATCTAAAATTGAATTATTGGGGCTCTTTGATATTCCAAATCTAACCGTGTATTTAGATTTTTAATTTTGGGTCCTGTTTTTTAAATTGGTCTACATTAAGGTCCAAAGGGTCCAAAATTAAACTTAGTTTGATTTTAACAAAAATTGAATTCTTGGGGTTCTTTGATATGCTGAATCTAAACATGTGTTTAGATTTTTGATTATGGGCCCAGTTTTCAAGTTGGTCCAAGATAAGGTCCAGTATTTAAACTTTGTTTGATTTCAACAAAAAATGAATATATGGGGTTCTTTGATATGCTGAATCTAAACATGTATTTAGATTTTTTATTATGGGCCCAGTTTTTAAGTTGGTCCAAATTGGGGTCCAAAATTAAACTTTGTTTGATTTCAACAAAAATTGAATATATGAGGTTCTTTGATATGCTGAATCTAACCATGTATTTAGATTTTTTATTTGTAGGCCCCGCTATTAAATTGGTTCATATTGAGGTCAAAAGGGTCCAAAATTAAACTTTGTTTGATTTCATCAAAAATTGAATTATTGGGGTTCTTTGATATGCTAAATCTAACCGTGTTTTTAGATGTTTAATTTGGGTCCCGTTTTTTAAATTGGTCTTCATTGAGGTCCAAAGGGTCCAAAATTAAACTTAGTTTGATTTTAACAAAAATTGAATTCTTGGGGTTCTTTGATATGCTGAATCTAAACATGTGTTTAGATTTTTGATCATGGGCCCAGTTTTCAAGTTGGTCCAAGTTGGGGTCCAAAATTAAACTTTTTTTGATTTCAACAAAAATTGAATATATGGGGTTCTTTGATATGCTGAATCTAACCATGAATTTAGATTTTTTATTTGTGGGCCCGCTATCAAATTGGTTCATATTGAGGTCAAAAGGGTCCAAAATTAAACTTTGTTTGATTTCATCAAAAATTGAATTATTGGGGTTCTTTGATATTCCAAATCTAACCGTGTATTTAGATTTTTAATTTTAAGTCCCGTTTTTCAAATTGGTCTACATTAAGGTCCAAAGGGTCCAAAATTAAACTTAGTTTGATTTTTAGCAAAAATTGAATTCTTGGGGTTCTTTGATATGCTGAATCTTAACATGTGTTTAGATTTTTGATTATGGGCCCAGTTTTCAAGTTTGTCCAAGTTGGGGTCCAAAATTAAACTTTGTTTGATTTTAACAAAAATTGAATATATGGGGTTCTTTGTAATGCTGAATCTAACCATGTATTTTGATTTTGGACATTAGACCATAATAGGTAAATTAAAAAAATTCAAGTTCTTAGACCACATTCTTTCTGTGTCAGAAACCTATGCTGTGTCAAATATTTAATAACAATCCAAATTCAGAGCTGTATCAAGCTTGAATGTTGTGTCCATACTTGCCCCAACTGTTCAGGGTTCGACCTCTGCGGTCGTATCAAGCTGCGCCCCAGCGAAGCATTTTATTTAAATTGGTCTACATTAAGGTCCAAAGGGTCCAAAATTAAACTTAGTTTGATTTTAACAAAAATTGAATTCTTGGGGTTCTTTGATATGCTGAATCTAAACATGTGTATAGATTTTTGATTATGGGCCCAGTTTTCAAGTTGGTCCAAGATAGGGTCCAGTATTTAAACTTTGTTTGATTTCAACAAAAATTGAATATATGGGGTTCTTTGATATGCTGAATCTAAACATGTATTTAGATTTATGATTATGGGCCCAGTTTTAAAGTTGGTCCAAATTGGGGTCCAAAATTAAACTTTGTTTGATTTCATCAAAAATTGAATTATTGGGGTTCTTTGATATTCCAAATCTAACCGTGTATTTAGATTTTTAATTTTAAGTCCCATTTTTTAAATTGGTCTACATTAAGGTCCAAAGGGTCCAAAATTAAACTTAGTTTGATTTTAGCAAAAATTGAATTCTTGGGGTTCTTTGATATGCTGAATCTAAACATGTGTTTAGATTTTTGATTATGGGCCCAGTTTTCAAGTTGGTCCAAGTTGGGGTCCAAAATTAAACTTTTTTTGATTTCAACAAAAATTGAATATATGGGGTTCTTTGATATGCTGAATCTAACCATGAATTTAGATTTTTTATTTCTGGGCCCCGCTATCAAATTGGTTCATATTGAGGTCAAAAGGGTCCAAAATTAAACTTTTTTTGATTTCATCAAAAATTGAATTATTGGGGTTCTTTGATATTCCAAATCTAACCGTGTATTTAGATTTTTAATTTTAAGTCCCATTTTTTAAATTGGTCTACATTAAGGTCCAAAGGGTCCAAAATTAAACTTAGTTTGATTTTAGCAAAAATTGAATTCTTGGGGTTCTTTGATATGCTGAATCTAAACATGTGTTTAGATTTTTGATTATGGGCCCAGTTTTCAAGTTTGTCCAAGTTGGGGTCCAAAATTAAACTTTGTTTGATTTTAACAAAAATTGAATATATGGGGTTCTTTAATATGCTGAATCTAACCATGTATTTTGATTTTGGACATTGGACCATAATAGGTAAATTAAAAAAATTCAAGTTCTTAGACCACATTCTTTCTGTGTCAGAAACCTATGCTGTGTCAAATATTTAATAACAATCCAAATTCAGAGCTGTATCAAGCTTGAATGTTGTGTCCATACTTGCCCCAACTGTTCAGGGTTCGACCTCTGCGGTCGTATCAAGCTGCGCCCCAGCGAAGCATTTTATTCAGTATTGGCACCCTGCCCTTTTGAAATCCTAGCTGGAACACTGTAGGATATGACTACTTTTCACTATTCATGCTAGTGGGGCGGCTTTCTACATGTATACATGTATCTATATATATACGTAGGTCCTAAAACAGTGGGATTAAACTCCTTATAATTAGTGGGGCAAGTTGGCAGGCACTTATTCATCGGGATTTACTACTTTTCATTAGTAGGACAGGTTGTCATGAATTCCTTTTAAATTAACTTGTATGTTCTTTATCAAATTTGAAGTTCCAATGATTAGTTAGCATGCTACATTTTTAAGCAATGAGCTAAGTTTGATCTCACAGACAAAGAAAGGGAAACAAATCGAAATGGTCTTAGTTAAAGGTAAAACGCAGTACTTAAGACTGCCAAACCCAGAATATGTTTTTCTCAAGCATACATGTACAAATGTAAGCACTTTTGTGGGTCATATGTTTTTTGGGTCCACTCTATGCATATACAGTGATATACATCTATTAGCATCTTTGGGTCTTGCAGGTCAAGAAAGTAGTCAAAATTGATGTTTTTTGCACCATATTACCAACTTTTTGGCAGTATCCTCCCAGTGGCTCCCACTATATGGCTTATCTCACAAGTTTCAATGTACTCACATTTGTTAAAAATTAGATAATTTTACTCAAAATGTATGCAGTGTGTGAAAACTTTGCCCGTCAAGTTGAAAAGAGCAAGTAAGAAACAGATAAGGCAAGCTGAAGCACTGAATGTGAGTACTAATGCTTGGGAACTCTCAAAGGCGATATTTTCTGGGCAATTTAAAGTGATTCAGCAGCAGCCCGACCATGCATTGTCAAAAAGTTCATAAGTTTTAAGTCTGTGAACCTTAATTAAAAGTGTAATACAAATATAACTTGCATTTTTGGTGAAAACTACTTTGTGTAGCAGATATACAATGTATAGAAATATAAACTATAAAATGATCAGCAAAATAAGATCTACTTATAAGTTGAAAAGATATTTTTAGACATCAATAACTTTGTCAAATATTAATCTTCATTCAATGTTATGAAACTTGGACAGAAACTTCTCTCTGATCAAAAGAGAGTATCCAGAGCATATTTTGAAAATATTTTTTGTTGTTGCAGTTAACCAAGGTTAAAGTTTAACAGACAGCAGCAACTTTGTCAAACCTTCATGCAATTATATAAATTATTTTTGGGTAAAAACATGATGTCATATAAATGAAAAATTCAAAAGTGAATAAATGATGTTTTTATACGACCGCATATTGGTATGACGTTGGCGTCGTAGTCGTCCGAAGACACATTGGTTTTCGAACTCTAACTTTAGTTTAAGTGAATGGATCTCTATGAAATTTTACCATAAGGTTCAATACCACAAAAGGAAGGTTGGGATTGATTTTGGGGGTTATGGTACCAACAGTTAAGGAATTAGGGGCCAAAAATAAGCATTTTTGTAACTTACAGACATAACTTGTGTGTTAGTGTATGGATCTCTCTGACATTGTACCACAAGGTTCCATTTCAATTATATATGCAGTTTTCAATTAGTACATGTAGGTTAACAGTTGTTTATAATTTTTAGGACCCTGCTGGAATTTTTGATTTGGTTGAAGTGGTTGGAAATGGAACTTATGGACAAGTTTACAAGGTAAATACATTGCTTTACACACACCAACTTTCTTATATACATTGAATGTAATTCTGTAAAATTCAATTACATGTACATGTATATTGTCACATCATATACAATTATTGTATATGATATGACAATATACATGTACATGTAATGACACCCCCAATGGGGATAGAAGGGAGCATTATATTTTCTGTTAGTCAGTCCATCCTGTATCCATGGTATCAGACTATAAAGTTTATTCAAAGGTAGTTTACAATGAGGTTGTGGTCTCATCAATTTAAAACTAATTATATATAAGTACACATGTTCCTTACTATCATAAACATGTATGAACTTCTTAAAATGTATGCCAAAAAATGGTTTGGACCCACATTTCATAGTCCACTGAACATGGAAATGTCATAGTGTAAGCAGGGAATGATTGCCTATAGACAAACAATTTTTGTTTTTTTAAGCTCTTGTTAATTTGTTCACAATGTCCACACTTTCTGAAGGTATAGTGACATTTGGATATTTTGGATTTATGTACACTTTGCCAGGTAAATTAAATTTGAAATAGTAAAACTACCGTTGGAAGTCCGCAAAGCTTCAAATACAGTTATCTCTATTCTAATGCACAAATTATTCAATTCTAGTCATTATTTCGGTTTAAGATTTTATCAAAAATTCCACGAAATGATGTTATCCTCTTTTGTACCTAAACTAGGTGACGTCATAGGTATACTTCCGCTTTCAAATGTAAACACCTGGGATTTCTGGCTCGTCCGCCTCAGAATGTAATAAAATTTGATAAATATAAGATTTCTAGGTGCAAAATGTTAGTTTTTATCCCCCTGCCGTAGCGGAGGGGGCATTAAGTTTTACCCTTGTCTGTCTGTATGTCCCAAAGTTGGTTTCTGTTCTCTAACTTTAGTTTGCCTCAACCAAATGTTATGAAACTTATACACAATGCTTATTACCACAAAACACAGATCAAGTTTGAATATTGGTGGCGTCACTTTAACCATTCTAGAGTTGTGCCCCTTTACAAATGGAAAAATTGCTGAATTTTTCGTTTCCGTTCTCTTCCTTAAGTTAGCCTCAACCAAATGTTATGATACAGATCAGGTTTGAATTTTGGGGGTGTCACTTTTATTGTTCTAGTGTTATATATGCCCCTTTACTTTTCGTTTCCGTTCTATAAATTACATGTAAGTTTGCCTCAACCAAATTTTGTGAAACTTATACACAATACTTATTACCACAAAATTCAGATCAAGTACAAATTTGGGTAGCGTCACTTTTAACGTTCTTCAGTTATGTCCCTTTATAACTTTATATGATATGCAATTGGGGGCATCATCTATGTCCCATGGACACATTCCCCATTTATTTTGCTTATTATTGGAGACATTACATGTCAGTTTTAGTCCGTAAATCAAAATGAGAGCCCCCCTTAAGTTACATACAGGTAGATAGAGAATTGTAAGTTGATTGTCATCCAATCAGAACCATTGATACAAAAAAATTGTGTACAAAAATGATAGTACAAAATTAAAGGATTAGAATTTTTTCACTATGATAACTTTTTGCCCCGCTATGAGGTGTGTACAGATGTTTAAGTAGTTAAAGGATTAGAAGTTGTTCACAATGATAACTTTTTGTCCCTCAACGAGGTGTGTATAGAAGTTTAAGTAGTTGATTTTCATTAAGACTTTGGGATTGGTTAATATTAGAACTGTGGGATATGATACATATATTGATGTCATATGAATGTACATTTAATTTTCTATCTTATTTAATGGTTAAAAATTTGAATAAATTTGTGACCTGAATCATTTCCATTGATAAAAATTTAAACTTCCTAAAACAGGGTTACATTTAACATACTTACCTGTTTATAAACAACCTGCTCAAAAAGTATTTAAGTACAAATATTTGAAAGGTGTTGTCTGATAAAGCTTTAATTAATACCTGAATTTTGTTATATCTTAATCAAATTTAATATATGTTTACAAAATTATGAAACATATGATACCAAATAGTAAAATGAGCAACATCTCTAATATGACTGACCGCCCCCAGAAATGCTTTTTGATCAGTTTGAAGATAAGCTTAATGGACTTTGTTAGTCAATCTATAGCTACCATAAAGTTTTTGTTTATATCAGTTTACATTTTAAGATCACTGATTTAACAGTGTGTTGAAATATTTACAAAAAGGTCTAATACACTTACATTTGTACCATTATAAAAATAAGGAGATTGCCTTTTTTATTCATGAAAACTGACGTCAATTAATATTCTAGTATAACAAATACAATGTACTACAAAATTAATTTACTGTAAAACCATTTCTAATGACAAAAAGTGTATTTTTATGTAGAAATGCTGAACTTCGTCAGTGTATTGCTAAAAATTAAATCTGTTTTAATATTTTATGTACATGTAGAGCACATTATTTATTTATATATATATATAGCAGATGATGTAATTAAATCTAAAATATATCTACATGTACTATGATTTTAAAAATGATGTAAGGTACATGTACATGTATGTTGTATATAATTATTCTTTCAACAGTCTATCATAATTCTTTATAGAATGGTACTTGTAAATGTTTAAGTATTTAAGCTAACGATATTTTATTGTTAGTTTTACAAAATAACCTATATTTTATATATGTATAATACATATGTAAGTGTTGAGACTTTTATAAATTATTGAATTTGAACCTTAAATTTGAAAGTCATCAAACAATAATTTCAATGTTTTGCAACCCAGTCAAGTGTAAAAAGTACCTGAGGTTATGTCCAGCTCATTTTAATTGAAGGACAGGAATCTGCAATCTGGTTGCTGTCTTGTCATAATTATTTTCCATTTAATAATATTAGCTTTAAACATACCATTGATTTTCTCTTTGCATTGTTTCATACTTTGTTATCTAAGGCCTTTTATACAGTTCACACATACAAGGTTTCACACTTCAATATCTAAGGCTACAGTACACACACTGTGATTCAGTTTAAAATAACTGTTGCTGGTGTTAAGTGATATACTGTAAAACACGATGATTGCTGGTGTTGAGTGATTCACTGTGAGTCAGGGTGATTGCTGGTGTTAAGTGATTCACTGAAAAAACATGTTGAGTGATTCCCTGTGAGTCAGGGTGATTGCTGGTGTCAAGTGATTCACTGAAAAAAACATGTTGATTGCTGGTGTTGAGTGATTCACTGTGAGTCAGGGTTATTGCAGGTATTAAGTGATTCACTGAAACATGTTGATTGCTGGTGTTGAGTGATTCTCACTGTGAATCAGGGTAATTGCTGATGTTAAGTGATTCACTAAAAATAACATGTTGATTGCTGGTGTTGAGTGATTCATTGTGGGTCAGGTTGATTGCTGGTATTGAGTGATTCACTGTGAGTCAGGGTGATAGCTGATTTGAGTGATTTACTGTGAGTCAGGGTGATTGCTGGTGTTGAGTGATTCTCTGTGAGTCACGGTGAATACTGGTGTTGAGTGATTTACTGTGAGTCAGGGTGATTGCTGGTGTTGAGTAATTCACTGTGAGTCAGAGTGATTGCTGGTGTTGAATGATGCTCTGTTTAGCAGGGTGATTAATGGTGTTGAATGATTCACTGTGAGTCAGGTTGATTTCTTGTGGAGTGATTTACTGTAAAACATGGTGATTGCTGGTGTTGAGTGATTCACTGTGAGTCAGGGTAAATGCTGGTGTTGAGTGATTCACTGTGAGTCTGGATGATTGATGGTGTTAAGTGATTCACTGAAATTCAGGGTGATTGTTGGTGTATAGTGATTCTCTGCAAGCAATGGTGATTTCTGGTGTGGAGTGATTTACTATTAACATGGTGACTGCTGGGGTTAAGTGATTCACTGTGAGTCAGGGTGATTGCTGGTGTTCACTGTAAATTCGGTGACTGCTGGGGTGAATGATTCACTTTGAGCTTGAGGGGGTTGCTGGGGTAGATTGATTTACTGTAAGTCAGGGTGATTGCTGGTGATGAGTTATTCACTGTAAGCCAGGGTTATTGCTAGTGTTGAGTGAATCACTGAATGTGACCTATTCCCGAATATTTTTTTTTTGCCGAGTGTAAATTTGCATTGCTATACGACGTTTCTCAGTATTTATACATCCAACATTCATGTATTTATTTATGATGTTTCTGTTGTGGTTTTGATTGAATATTGTGTTATGTCTTATCATTTGTGGTTTGAATTCTGTATTTTCGGTACATTTCACATATATGTCTTATTTGTCAGTATAGTCGAGTTAATTTCCATTTTCCGTATGGATTAAGTATTGTGTTAGTCCAAATAATTATGACGTCGTCACAGCATTTATCCAAAATAGCCTTTCAATACCTTCATAGTCTTGATAATTGTTTGGACTAGTATTGGGAAAATAATTGTATGAATTTCAAGATTATATATTCGTTACAAAAATATGTCACTGTTTGTGATGTCCTGTGCTGTCTGTCGTTAATGGAAGATGTTCTTTGTTATTCTGCGGTTTACATGTTGTAATGACTATTATATTATTTGTTTGTGCGTTTCTCTGTGCTGAGTGTTCTTGCGTTTGTTTGTGCTGTATTTCTGTCACGTAGTGTTGTCATTTTAGCGATATCTTTTAACATTACCATATAAGCGGGAGGTTTGGCTAGCCATAAAACCAGGATCAATCCACCGTTTTTTCTTAAAATGTCCTGTACCAAGTCAGGAATATGGCAGTTGTTATCAAATAGTTCGTTTTATGTATGTTGGCGTTTGTTTTTGTTGCACTTCAGTGTTTCTGTTGTTCCGTTGTTTTCCTCTTATAGTTGATGTGTTTCCCTTGGTTTTAATTTGTAACCCGGATTCATTTTCTCTCAATTCATTTATGACTTTTGAACAGCGGTATACTACTGTTGCCTTTATTTATCAGTCAGGGTGATTGCTGTGTTGAGTGATTTTCTGTGAAACTGGGGGAAACTGTTGTTGAGTGATTCACTGTGAGTCATGGTGAATGTTGGTTTTGAGTGATTTACTGTGAAACTGTGGGATAACTGGTGTAAAGTGGTTCACTGTGAGTCAAGGTAAATATTAGTGTTGAGTGATTTACTGTGAAACTGGGAGATAACTGGTGTTGAGTGATTCACTGTGAGTCAGGGTGATTTCTGGTGCTGAGTGGTTTACTGTGAGTCAAGGTGATTGCTGGTGTTGAATGATTCACTGTGAGTCAGGGTTATTACTGGTGTTGAATGATTCACTGTGAGTCAGGGTGATTGCTGGCGTTGAATGATTCACTGTGAGTCAGGGTGATTACTGGTGTTGAGTGATTCACTGTGAGTCAGGGTGATTTCTGGTGCTGAGTAATTCACTGTGAGTCATGGTGATTGCTGGTTGTTGAATGATTCACTGTGAGTCAGGGTTATTACTGGTGTTGAGTGATTCACTGTGAGTCAGTGTGATTTCTGGTGCTGAGTGATTCACTGTGAGTCAGGGTGATTGCTGGTTTTGAATGATTCACTGTGAGTCAGCGTGATTGCTGGTGCTGAGTGATTCACTGTGAGTCATGGTGATTGCTGGTGATTTAGAGTGACATCACTCTGATTAATGACCCTGTCATATATTACCTATGTAAAATAAAGAGATTACATGTATATATCAGGGCGGGTTTTTCCAAGGCTTGGCACTACTCCCAGAAATTGCCAATATAATTTTTAAGTTTTTTTTTTACCCAGAATAGGTCTGTCTGATATCTTAGTTACATGCTATATGAATATACAAGAATTACATTCCAATAGGAACATAAAATTTATTTCCAAAACCAGTGTTTTAAACAAGTGAGAAATCTGTACCAAGTCAGAACATCTGGTCTACAAATATTCAAATAGGAAATTAAAACACATCAATCCTAAAGGACAGTTAGAACCCAAAACTTTACACTGAACAAATTCAATTAATAAAAAGCTTTCAATATTGTTTCTTAATTTGGTAAAAATATGTTCCTATGGCGAAACAAATGATATTTTCAAAAGAGGTGATAGAAAAGAAAAATAAAAAGGGGATGCCCTGATAGTTGACTACATCTTTTGTGAATAGCTGTCTCATTGGAGATCATACTGCGTTTATAATTGTTTAGATATCTGATATTATGCCCATAGGAAATTATTTTATATATGAAATGGATGTTAAGTTATAAATAGTAATCAATTTATATAATTATTCATTAGCAGATTGATTTGTTTGGTATTACTGTTGACATTTTAGCTGTCAATGTATGGTTGTATACAGGGTAGATTTTGTATACATGTTTGATTCAATCAATGTGACTTATAGTTCAGTTTGTTCAGACTTTGTCTATGAAGGTTTGTAGTTAAACCAAACAGGAGTGACATGGCTGGTGCAATACACACATCAGTATGTTACAACAGGTAGAGCATCCTTGTCTTACAGGCATACCATCTTAGTGTATTAGACAAATTGTACAGATGTGCATGTTATAGTTCAGCCTAAAAAAAATCAGTATAACAAAATGAGTTTGTCCACAATCCATGTTCTATCTTACCAGGGACCAAAGATTATTTCTGTGTTTATTTTATGATGATTATTGTGTACAGGTTCTATTAACTGGTATAGAAAAGATTTTACCCCTAAGTGAAGCATTTCTAATCCCTATGTTTAATGAAGTGTTAATAGACTTGATCACCTGTATACATGGTACATGAGCAGATTATTGTGGGTACTGTGTTGTGAATCAGAAAAACCAAGGAAGTCATTCTGGTCAGGAAGTATTTACATGCATGTATGGCATGTCTAGACTGATTAAAACCTACATAGTAGATGCAAGAAGTGCAAGGTCAAAAGGTCACATATGTTATTGTTTATATTATTTAAAGGCATAGATGTATAGTAAGAAGCCTGATAAACCTTTATCTAGTCGACATTTTAAAGTCTGGAATAGGGTTTATCATATTTGTGAACAAAAGAATATGTAAGGCTATGCAAGTGAATAAACAAAAAAAGATATCTAGAAATTTATGAACAAAAGAAAATGTAAGGCTATGCAAGTGAATAAACAAGAAAAGATATCTAGAAATTTATGAACAAAAGAATATGTAAGGCTATGCAAGTGAATAAACAAGAAAAGATATCTATTAAAAATTTATGAACAAAAGAAAATGTAAGGCTATGCAAATGAGACAGCAACCAAACAACATTATAAAACCAGAAAAGACATCTGATATTTAACATAAGTCTTAAACAATAAGCAAGCTTCTAATTAATTTATACAAAAAACTACATTTACAGTTTTTAAAGTAATTAGTTGCACTTTCTTCTAACCTAAACATATGAATCAGATTTTGATGCAAGTATTTTCCCTGTCAAGTGTTGTGTGTTGTTATGTTAATTATGTAAATAATGTAGTTAAAAGTATGAGCAGCCAAAAAGATGAATAAAAGAGATTGGGGTAAATAAGACAACAACATTTCCTTTATTTTAGAATTTGTAATGTGAGCCTTTTATTATTTGTTTATTGTTTATTCGTAAGATTTACCTTATGTAGTGTACTATAAGCATGTTAAGATTCAGATCTATGATTTTCAATGATTTCCTGTATTTAAACAAATGAAGTACAAAAACTTGATAAAAAATTACTTCCTTCATTTATAAGTGTCATGGACTTTGTGACACAGTTCTAGATAAGAATTGGAGGGGATTTGTTGTTTTCTAACTAGGCTATATTGAATTTTACCCATGCAACGAAATGTATCTAACATCTTTTATGTCTGTGGATTTGTGTATACTTTTGTCGGTTCCTCTCCCTTTCACATGAAATATTTGAATCTATGTGAATGATTATTTGTATGATTTTACAGAGAATAGTTTTGTCTGCTATAGCATTTAACACATGAGTTTTATTAGTCATTCCAAGAGGTTTACTGAGTGGTAATCATTGATTGTATTTAACAATTACAGGTTTGTCTGAAGGTCAAGTTATAGGATGATGTTACACATTTTTAGAAGACTTAGAATAGACAATTCGGTCTTTTATTCATAAGATAAATGCATATCATTTGTAAAAGTGTCTCAAAATCAATATTTTTCAATATATTTTTTAAAAAATTGCTAAATAAATTTCACTTCAATTGATGTAAAATAATCATAAGATTGTTGGCTTGGTTTTGGATGTGTTAGCATTTTATGACTTTATTCATAGTGAAAAATAAAAAAAAACACTACATTTTTCAGCTTTATAAGTGGTCCACTTTTATACTTTATACCATAATTTAATTTTGAAAGATGAATATACAAAAAAGAAATTTAGTGACCATATGATTTATTATTTTACATCTTTGTCATGTTATGGAAATTTATCTGGCAACAACATATCAATTTTAAAGATTTAAAAGTTTTAACTGCTTTTGTGGAAATGAAAATGTAAACATTTTTCAGAAAAAAAATACTACTGTGCATTGTACACAAATGTCCAACTATTTTGAAAGTTATATGTGTTCATTCATTTCTAAGCACATAATGTCTTTTCTTTTAATTAAGATACAACATGTCCACTCCAAGTTGTATGCTAAATCTTACAAGAACTTGTGACAGGCCACTTGACCAGTATCAAACCATAGTGCACATAAAGTTAGATTGTTGTTTTATAGAATGATAAGAGCGACAATTATAAAATGTATGTCTTTTAATGATTTTCTCTAAAGGATCATTGAAATGGTAGCCTCATCTATAAGATAAGATAAGAATTTTATTAATCTAATCAAGAACCCATAAAGGGCATCATTTACAACAATATTAAGCACAATATGATTGGAAAAAAGAAAAACTATATCCTAATATAATACTATCATATATTGGACAGGATCAGAGCCTAACACATCATGTGTCTTACATAACATTAACAATAATTGCATAATAATTTTATATATTTTGTATCCACCTGGATCTTATTTCTAAACACTTAATTATATAATTGCCTAGGCACATAAGAGTTGGTAAATGCTCATTTGTGAACAGCCAGAAATATTTTTTATCCTTGGGTAATTCTTTAAAATTATTACAAAAACTGTTTACTTTATCCCATAATAATTTTCTCTGTTCGTTATATAAAGGACAACTTACTGTGAAATGGGTCTCATCTTCAATAGAATTTGATCCATGTGATAGGCAGTGATGACATAGACGCTGACTTCTCTCTATGTATTTTTTACTATACCTATCTTTCTCAATTTTAAGATCATGTGCACTTATTCTCAATTTACATATAGCTCTTCTTATATTAAAATCTTTAATTGATAAATAAGCCTCCTTTACGAAGTCAGTCTTGAGGTTGAAATAATTTTCTAATTTACTATTACCTTGTGATAAGGTATCAGATCTTTTGACCCCCCAAAATGTTTTAAAACTGTTACAAAGTTTACATTTTACAAATTTAATTAATCTATTGAGCTTTGTATTCAAATTTTGTATATCAAGTGATTGAAGGACATATCTCATAGATGAATACCAACAATTAATGTTTCCTGCATCTAAAATTTTATTACAAACATAAGCATCATAAAGTAACCCATCGTCCAATTTGTTAAGCCTGTGTACATATTTTACCATAGATATAATGACAGAATATATATATTTATAGCGAGAATTTTACATGGCCATAAGTAGAAAATCTTGAATATGTGAATAAAAATTCCAATCAAACACATTTGTGTTTCCTTTTAATATATAATGTATGTAAATGAACAATGTGTTTTTCTTGGTATATATAAGGATCTGATGTAGGCAATAACTAACATTTTGAAAAATAGGAAATTTTTATAACTGAGCACAATCTTTATAATTGACTTTTAATGTTACAGGGTCGCCATACAAAAACAGGACAGCTGGCAGCCATCAAAGTTATGAATGTTAACGAGGTAAAGAAGCTTCTGACAATTGCATGTATCAAAGTTCTTCTTGTTGAAAAGTGAAGACTTTTAATTAGACTTAAGTAATTGAAGAGTAAAAATATTTGCAATGCATTTTTAGAATAAAATAGTTGAACATATATTGTTGAGGTACATTTTGTATAAGATCAAATGTGTTTTATGACTGTAATTATCTATTAGATGATCTTGCATTTTTGTAAATAAAAAACAAATTTTTGCTTGCATTATTATATTAAAGTTGTGGAAAGATTAAACCATTACCTTATTGAAATGTTTAAAGGATTTCATTTTTATTCACATGGATTATTTATGTATTTTAGGGATTCTGGTTTTGATTGAAATATTTTTTCATTTCAGGATGAAGAAGAAGAAATTAAATTAGAAATAAATGTTTTAAAGAAAGTAAGTAGATCTGTTGATATTGATAACTTAACTCACAGTTGTTAACAACAATATTACTATGTCATGTATGTGTCCCACTTATCTTAGATGAGGATTTTTTTAATGCAAGTTATTTATTGTGAATCTAAAAGTTACCTGAGCTTATATATCAATGTATATATTGTGAACATGTATAATTGAAAAGGTGTTCAAGGCTTCAACATATTAAAATAACTGTCTGCAATTTGATGTAGGGGGGAATTCTTTTAATCCGTTTGCCTTATAGGAATATTTGTATAAAACAACTTTTCATAGATGATGGGACACACTTTGAAGTGATATTCATCACTAATAAGAATTAAAATAAATTTTGTTTGTTATTCTACATTTTGAACCCGATTTGCAAATACATGTCAATGTGCTTTCAGCAACTCTTTGGTTCTATTATCTTTGCAATAAGCTCGAAACACAATAAAACTGTAAGCATCTACAAACCATTATAGTAACCCTGTCCTTCTATCAAAGTTAAATGCCAGCAAATTTTACTACAAATTGGAATGAAAATGTAACAGAAAATGTGAAGCTGGCCTAAATATACCAGCACTACTAATGGTATAGACCTTATTTGGGAATCTGCCACATTTGACTCAAGATTTTACGAATATTTAACTCTTGACGTAGACAAAAATCACTATTTGCTTTGTGGCATCAGTCATTAATCTTGTGTTGTTAAAATTCTAAGGGACTGTCTATGATATCCATTAATTGCATTAAAAAAACAATAAGGTGTATTTCTGAAGTGCAAGGTTTAACATTCAGGCCTATTATTCTTCTCACAAAATTTACAGGCTAAAAGGTAGAGATAAAAGAAATTCCAGATAACAGTTGTTAAGAAAAAGTATTTTATATATTTCATTGTTTGGGTTGTATATGGACTGGTTCAATGCCCAGAAATGTTTCTGTACATGTAGCACACAGTTACATTTTCTAAAGGAAAAAAATAATCAAACTACCAATTTAGTACCCTTTTAAGCTTAGCTTCAGTTTGTCAGTTTTGTAAGCTCAGGTGATTTTTCTTGGATACTATTCCTTGGACATCTGGGTATTTACTAGCAAACAGTTCTTTATTGTGCATGCCTATTGTAAACTTTTCATTGAAATGAAGTTTCATGTTTTGTTAATTTCAGTATTCCAACCATAGAAATATTGCTACATATTATGGGGCATTTATAAAGAAAAGCCCTCCTGGCAAGGACGACCAGTTATGGGTAAGAATATTTGTATTTAAAAAAAAAACACCACAGAACATCAGGCAAAAGACGACCATAAGTGAGTCATTGATATCAGACAAACACAGAATAGGGATGCATTTCAAAGAAAAAGCAAGCCCATATTTAAAGATGACCAAATGTGGGTCAAATATAGCTTTACAAAATAAGGAATTTACAACAAGAAAAAACCATGCAAGCTAATTATAAGGTCGCAAGATATGTTCTGTCAACTGAAATTGTACTTTATAAAACAATGGAAGAATAATCCAGCTCATACACGTAGTGTAACATTGATAGTGACATTAATTAAATATAGGACACAGATAGATATATATTTGCAACTTTTGTTAATTGTAACAAATTTATAAAGTGTTACATGTACTTTCATTGTTTAAGAAAATAGCAAAAGTTAGTTTAATCCTTTTTCCTTAAAAATTATGAGACACAAGATTTGGTGGTGGAATCTGTTTCTCTAATGATTTTTAAACAATATGCAGAAATCTTTATCCTTCTTTTCGAGCAACTTGCGATGTGTTATTTCTATGTGACGTCATCAGGCCTGGTCACCTTTTTTCATGACATCACAATAGGAATTTCAGAGGAAAGCAAGAAAATTTGACATCCTAATCGAATTTTGACCAATGAAGAACTGAGATCAAACAATTTTAAGTCATACCTATGTAGTTATTTGAATCAAGCAAGTGAGTTTAAAATCTTTCAATAAGACTCAATTCTGATAGGGCTGTTAAAACAATCATTACTTTTGGCTTGTTATGTATTTCCCACATATATAGATGTATGTTTTCTTTTAAAGCTGGTAATGGAGTTTTGTGGAGCAGGATCAGTAACAGATTTAGTGAAAGGTAACAGTTTATTGTGGTATTTTATAATAATCTTTTGGTTGTGGTAAGTTGTCACTGTTAGTTACTAGTTTGATATTAATTGATGTATGTGGTAAGTTCTTTGTATAAAATAAATTCCTTCTCAGAAATCTACATGTATTATGTTTTATAGTGATGTTATGCCACTTGAATCAGATATATTGTTTGAGCAGCATATTTATGTCTGCTTGACCTACATTTCATGCTTGAGTAACAGATGATTATTTGTGTTATTACTGTGTCTGAATCCAAAATGATAAAACATGGTAACGCTTCTACATGGTACAGTACTGTTCAGCTCCTTTTGATTAATGTCACCATAACATATTTTACACAGGTGATTAATAGAATTGATATGTGTCTCATATCTCAATAAATCCATTGTCTTATATACAGTTATACTGTCTACCTCTATTTCAAAAATTTGTCTGGATTGATATAAAACACAATAGGATGTGTAAAACAATTTTTGTTTTTCTTTGTGTGAATATTTGAAAGATAGAAATCATTTGATGTACTTTATGAAATAAAAGAGATTGAAGTGTTTTTGTTTATTATTTTAGCAACAAAGGGTAACACATTAAGAGAAGAATGGATTGCTTATGTTGCAAGGGAAATACTCAGGGTAAGTGGATGCTTATGTTGCAAGGGAAATACTCAGGGTAAGTGGATGCTTATGTTGCAAGAGAAATACTCAGGGTAAGTGGATGCTTATGGTGGAAGGGAAATACTCAGGGTAAGTGGATGCTTATATTGCAAGAGAAATACTCAGGGTAAGTGGATGCTTATGTTGGAAGGGAAATACTCAGGGTAAGTCAATTTTCATCTATGTGAGTAAAAAGTGCAAAGAGTTAAGTCATTGCTGGATAGATTTAATTTGTTTGTACAAAGCTATGAGAAATATTAATAAGGAAATTTGCCATAACAGAAACTTTTTAAGGACTACATGCAAATGCTGAGTTAACTGGTTTCTAAGAAACAAATATTTTATAGGACATGATCATTCTAATTGTAGAATGGTGTTGAATGCAAAGCAGGATGTGTTTAACCACAGCTGATTTTATTTTCTATGGGAGTTGGTATGATCCATTATTTTTATTATAAAGCACGTTTTCTGTCTTTGTTAGTCATTTAGAGCACTTGCTAAATTATTTGATCAAATAAATAAACCCATGAAAAGGTGGTGTATACTTTCCATATAAACTGCTAAAACTATGACAACTTTTTATTATGCTATTTTCAATGCTTCAGGGTTTAGCACATCTTCACCAGAACAAAGTCATCCATCGTGATATTAAAGGACAGAATGTTTTATTAACAGATAATGCTGAAGTCAAACTAGGTAAGGCTTATCCTCAATTTGAATCAGTTAACATGGTCAGGAATGTTAGATCTAACTTTATTTACGTAAGCACAGACTATCAGGTGTATTATGTGTGTAGTTCTTTCCAAAGAGCCAGCTGATATGAAATTTCAACTAGAACTTCAAAGTTATCAATTCCTCTTGATCATGTGTTCACGAAAGATTGTTTCAATAAGTATCTTGAGTTCTCAGAATTCACTTATGGAAGACTTAGGTTTTAGGCACTGTTTTTAGCACTAGTCATTCTGATAAAAGAATTTCCAGTTCCTTATTTGCAATATGTCAGGATTTGTTATGTTCAAGTTCATCATTTGAACTTGCTTTGATATATAAAGCTCTGAAAAAGTTCATTTAGTTCATATTTTTTCCACACATAGAAAATTCATTAAAAAATGTTAAAAGGTCCAAACATGTATATGAGTTTAATGAAATGAGTTTGCAATCTGTACCCTTCTCATAGTCATTAAGTAAATATACATCCATAATAAAATATGACAGTAGTTGACAAATTAGGCAGCAACCCAAAAAACAGGTTTACATAGGGGTCACTATTCATTGCATTACATATAAAGCATCAATAAGTGTTATCTTTGTTAACAAAAGGATTACAATATAATAATAAATGTTGTTCATTTCAGTTGATTTTGGCGTCAGTGCTCAACTTGACAAAACCATTGGCAGGAGGAACACATTTATTGGAACCCCATACTGGTGAGATCTTATTACGTCATACTTACAATAAAACTTATTTTGTGGATAAAGTAAACTACATAGGAATCAATTGATAAGGTTTTATGCTGAACACACCTCAACTAGTTATCTCAAACACGGTGGACAAAACTATTTACACAGAAATAGGACATTTAATGGCCCACAATATTGAAATCTATGTAAAGACGAATTGTTCACTTTGGTAAAAAAAATTTAATTCTTTTTTTGATCATCTGAAAAGTTCCTATCCAATAATTGTATCTATAGTTAATAAATTAATCATTATCTCTGCACTGCTTGTTTAACCATTATTTGAATTTTCTTTACTGATTGTTTATTTGTAGGATGGCTCCAGAAGTGATAGCCTGTGATGAGAATTCGGAAGCTACTTATGACAATAGGGTTTGTATTCCTCATCATAGATTGTTCATTACCTTGGTAACAACTGTAGTAACTATTTCTTTAATCTGGGCCATATCCATCTATTTTTAGACATGACATATTAATTTATATTGTTTCTTTTCACTTCATAGTTTCTTTGCTATGACCTACATTTTTAGTGTAAACTTTTTCAAGTGTAAACATATTGGCAAGCAAGAATCAATTAAGTTTTATTTATCAAGGAAATTTTTATCGAAAATCTTCAAAATGAAACAAGCTTCTTTGAGCCTCTAGTTATAAAAATTTGACACACCTTAATCTTGTGTTTTTTTACAGCCAGTGTTTAAGTAATCCAATACTGAATTAACAAAGCATTTTGAAAATAAAATTCTTCAGCAGAACAGACCACATAAGAATGCATTTACATAAAATTGAGAATATAAAAATAAGGAGATTTTGAATGATAGCCAATGAGACTACAATCCACCAGAGACCAAAGGATGAGAATGTTATCAACTATAGGGCACTGTACAGACTTCAACAATGAGCAAAACCCATACCATATAGTATGCTTTAAAAGCCCCCCGAAAAATGTAAAACAAGTCTAAAGAGAAAACCAATTACACAAATTTTCTTATGTTTGGGAGGTTTTCAAATTTGAATCGGGTGAAAAACTCCACTCTAAACATTATGTATTTAAATACTTGTAATGAAAGTACAATATTCAATCTAAATTAACTTGATGTATATTGTTTTGACAGAGTGATTTATGGTCATTAGGGATAACTGCAATAGAAATGGCTGAAGGCAAGCCACGTAAGTAGACAATCTCTAAAGTGATATACATCTGTTGTGTTATTATCTTAATATATAAAACTGTTTTAAAATCATTTCTTTTATATGATTTGATATAAACCATTGATAACATATAAATCCAAAGCAATACATCAACTGAAGTTGAAGCATTACTTATGAAACACCATGTATACCTCTTAATAAACTATAATTGATCAATTACAAGTAGATTGGTAAACATGTGTAAAGTTTAGATTGTCATTAAGTAGAGAGAATAGAAATTTCATCAAACATTCAAATAAAGCAACCCATGTTTCTTTCTATAAAAAATTTCCAGTTCTACCCTAATGAAAAGATTATTTTGTATGAAGAAAATCTAGTACAATTTTGCTTATCTCATCATGAGAAACGAAGAGATTTTCATCTGCATTAATACTAATTTGAATTGTTGACTTTATCCACGAAATACACGAAAATTAATTTTGTTTGCCCAGTAAATCCATGCATTAAGTTTACACAATATTTCAGGCACAGACTTAAAGGAGGAACAAACTTGCCCAGCATGGTATTCATATGGAATGAAGTTTCCAGTAAATGTACAAAATAATAAATGAACAGGAAATATATTTTTTATTTATATTGATATTGTTTTCTTACAGCACTCTGTGATATGCATCCAATGCGAGCCTTATTTTTGATTCCCAGAAACCCTCCACCTAGATTAAAATCCTCTAAGTGGTAAGTGTTATTGTTGAAACATTGTATTGATCTACATAAATCAGGGGAATTGCTTATGAATAAAACTGAACGCAATGAAATTGTGAGAATATATAGAGAATATTAAAAGGGCATTAGCTGTCAAATTCATGTTCACCGATTTGACTCAAAATTCTCATATTCAACTTATAACATACTAAAACTAATATCCAAAATATAAAAAGTCTTAAATAAACAATTTACGATGCATGTACTCGATAGTATATATCAGCATTTAGTGTGTATTTTATTCTAGATGCCATCTAATTAACCATCGAGGTGATCTCCGAAGACTGCCAACGGTCATTTAACCCGATATAAACATAAACATAGATATGAATAGATAGCGAACTCGTGCAATTGGATTTTTCTAGGTCTGTTTGATTTCATATTATAGGTTTAAAAAGTATGTTCATAATCGTTTTTATACAACAGCAAAAAATTTGGCGGTCGTATATTGGTATCACGTCGTCAGCGTCGTCTGAAGACAGTTGGTTTCCGGACAATAACTTAAGTATAATTAAATAGAAATCTTTGAAATTAAAACACAAGGTTTATAACCACAAAAGGAAGGTTGGGAATGATTTTGGGGGTTATGGTCCTAACAGTTTAGGAATTAGGGGCCAAAATAAGCATTTTTCTAGTTTCCAGACAATAACTTGTGAAACGGTGTATGGATCTCTCTGAAATTATACCACACGTTTCCATACCACAAAGGGATGGTTAGGATTTGCTTTGGGAGGTTATGGCTCAAACCGATTAGGAATAAGGGCAAAAAAGGGGGAAAAACAAGGGTTTCCGGGTTAATGGACACTTAAGACAATTTAAAAGCATTGTAAGGGAGGTAATCCAAACACAACGTTTTGATTACCTCCATTACACTGATTTTAAATTATGTATAAAGAAATGTTTTATTGTCTTGAGATGATTAGCTGTCAATTTATTTTTAGAAGTGACTATTAAGGAATACTAATTTTAGCCATGATTATGTATGTCATTTTCTATTTTAAGACTTTTATGATGTATTTAAATGGGTAATTATGGTTGTAAACTCCATTGGAAATTTGAATTGAGATTATTACCATATCTGGAGGGAAAGAAATTTTTTTGTGGGAAAAAGGGGGGGGGAGGGTAAAAAGAAATTGTGGGGGGTCAATTTTTTCTCATTTCAGATTTCAGAAATTAAAAAGAAAAATTCTTCCAATATTATTTTTTTGCAAAAAAAGGGGAGGTCAATACGCAACAGCATAGTGTATTGCACAAAAGCAAAAAATTGAATATAAATTCAAATCATATAACCAATTCTAAGTTCTTTGACTACAGTTATTCTGTGTTAGAAACCTATTATGTGTCAAATATTTAATTACAATCCAAATTCAGACCTGTATCAAGCGCGAATATTGTGTCCATTTGTGCCCCAACTGTTCAGGGTTGGACCTCTGCAGTCTTATCCAGCTGCGCTTGGCGAAGCAATTTATTATCTGTATACGGATTTAATGAGGTGGAATTATTTACTTGCAAGTGAATAATTCATTAGCGATGTTACTTTGCTTATTTTGACAAAACTGAAGCAAACTGGTTGCTAAAAACAAATTATTATTTCACTATGTCACTTTCATTAATGATTCAAATTTTTTTTTTTTCTATATCTTGTAGCTAATGCCCCTTTAAACAACAGAAAAACAAATAGCCTAACTAAGCTGGTACAACTGTATTCAACATTGTTATACTACAGTATTCCCATGCAAACAGCTTACACTTTTAAGTATTGTAATGAGATCTTGTACTAATTATTCTCTCTTGAAAGATCAAAGATTCAAACAATTTATATCTAGGATATTTTTATATTGTCACCTTATATTTAAGTATTATCACATCTTACTTCTGATTTTGAAATAAATCTTTTTTTATTCTTGCTTTTTAGGTCATCAAGATTTCAGAATTTTGTAGAAACTTGTTTAATAAAAGATTACACCCAGAGGCCAAATACAGAAAACCTGCTAAAACATCCATACATTAAAGATCAACCAACCGAGAGACAAGTCAGAATACAACTTAAAGATCATATAGATAGGCATAAAAAGAATAGAAGATGTAAGTGTAAAACACACACATGCAGACAACTTAAAAAACAACTCATCGTGTTGCTTTTTTCTGATTTTATATTTCATGATTCAGTATATTAAATTATTCAATTAGATATTGTAAAAACCAAAATGATCTAACTAATGAAATAACTGCCTGATTCACAAAGAAAAAAAAAACAATCTGATTTTGTCAGAGGAAATAATTTTTGCAAAATGCATGCAATCCAAGGGAGGTAATCAAACTAAAATATATTGCAAATCAACCAACTTTTGCACTCTTTTGTTTTGTAGAAAGAAACAGCTACCACAACTTTTTGTTTATATTCAAAAAGCCATTAATTTAAATAATATCCCCAAGTGTAATATTAATTTATATATATAGATTCTACCACTGCATCGAGTGTGATATGATATTTATCCACTCGAGACAGTTAAATTTTCAAATTTAAAACGCGAGGCTCGCCGAGAGTTTTAAATAATTAAAATTTAACTGTCGAGAGTGGATAAATATCTTATTACACGAGATTTGGTGGTGGAATCTGTTTCTCTAATGATTTTCAAACAATACGCAGGCAAATTTATTCCTTCTTTTCGAATGATCTGCAAAAAGATGTGTTCTTTCTATGTGACGTCATCAGGCATGGTCGCCTTTTTTCATGCCGTCACAATAGGAAATTCAGAGGAAAGCAAGAAAATTAGACGTCATAATCAGATTTTAACCAATGAAGAATTGAGATCAAACGAACCACACGTTGATTAAATTTTTTTTATACAATGGGTGCAGAAAGGGATAAATTGATGAAGAATTAGAGAAATATATATATAGATAGGTTTTTGTGGAGTCACCAAATAATAACAACAAAAAAATTGAGATTTGTTTTAGATTAAACCAGGACATTACAATGAAATAAAAATAAAGTATTGATCATAATTCCATTGTTATTTGTAGCTGATGACCATGATACTGAATATGAGTACGAGGGAAGTGATAATGAAGAAGAGGAAGACAATACCACACCTGGGGAACCAAGGTAACGTTATAAACAAATACAGGTAAAAAAAGGTAAAATAAAAACCAAATGTAAGTGAAGCAAGGTAATATAATTAATAAATACAGGTCAACCAAGTTTACATAATAAACAAATATAAGTGAAGCAAGGTAATATAATAAACAAATACAGGTCAACCAAGGTAATATAATAAACAAATATAAGTGAAGCAAGGTAATATAATAAACAAATACAGGTCAACCAAGTTTACATAATAAACAAATATAAGTGAAGCAAGGTAATATAATAAACAAATACAGGTCAACCAAGGTAATATAATAAACAAATATAAGTGAAGCAAGGTAATATAATAAACAAATACAGGTCAACCAAGGTAACATAATAAACAAATGGAAGTGAAGCAAGGTAATATGATAAACATGTACAGGTCAACCAATAACAAATAAAAGTGGTGGACCTAGTTAACCAAGGAAACATTCAGATAGCAAAGGTGATATTCACATAGTGGTGTACAACAGATAGAATATCACTAACACAACTGTCAGCGAACATGGGATTAACTTATACAATTAAATATTGGTTAAAGAGTTGATAATGAAAAGTTGATTTGGTGATGTGGTGACTTGTTTCCTTTAGAAATATATTGAAAAGTACCTTTTTGTTATTTTTGTTAAAGTAGATTTATACATAAAAGGCTTAAAAAAAAAAGAAGTAAAATAACAAAGATACCGAACTCCAAGGAAAATTCAAAACAGAAAGTCCCTTATCAAATGGCAAGACATAAGCTCATACACATCAAAAGAATGGAAAACAACTGTCATATTCCTGACTTGGTACAGACATTTCCTTATGTAGAAAATGATGGATTAAACCTGGTTTTATAGCTAGCTAAACCTCTCACTTGTATGACAGACACATTCCATTATATTGACAACAATGTGTGAACAAAACAAAACAGAAAATGAGCTCTTTTGGTGCCTCAATTTTAATGAAGGATTTAATTTTTAAAGGCAGTGCTTTAATGCCTTTCTAGTTGCCGGGTTAATCCTTCCTTCCGCGATATCCATCTTATCTACGTGGGGGGTCGTTAGGCTCCAAGTAGATCCGGAAATGTTGAATTCTCTCCTCTTCTTATTGCGATATAAAGTGTTTTTTTGTTTCATTTCATTTACATTGGGAAATAGAGAAACGATCATTGTGTTTTGTTAGTTTTAAAAACTTTAAATATATTTGTATTTTGCATTATAAGCAGTCAACCGATTGACAAACTAGAATTATTTGAATTCCGTGTGGAAAGAGCTCGGGTTAATTTCGAGTGTTATCTGCAATCTATATGTTTATAAATCATTTCAGTCGTTGATCGACTGAACATGAATTATATTATACAATTTAAAGCGCATTTCTGTTTATGCACGTGAACCCGTCTAACGTTATTGTTATTTCGCAGTTATATAAAGTAGCAAATTATCGTTCCTGAATAGGTGGCGCCGTGGTAGCCGATCCTGTTCCTCAATTTCAGGTTTCTGCACTGTGCAACTATTTCAGTTACATTTTTAATTAACGATGCCAAGTACTTGTTGTTGTGTACCTAGATGTCATTTAAGAGGAGGACGTGCATTTCCAAATGACTTACAAAGAAGGAAAAGTTGGATCAACGCCATGGCCCATACGCAGATTGGACGAGAACACGATGAAATCGTGGAGTCCATCTCAATCAGCTGTTGTTTGCAAGGCACATTTTACTGAAAAGACTACGTGCAGGAAACTATTCATGGTAAAACTCTATTTTCTTTTTGAAATATATAGTTATATATGTAATCGCCATGCGAATAAACCAAAGTCTGTTTACAACCGCAATTATCGTTTTAGAATAAAAGGGGGTGGTTAATTCAAGACGTCATAATTTTTTGGATTACGATTCAATGTGATCTGTTTGAGATTTTTTGGTGATTGCTACAATTATAATGATTTCTTACAAGAGGTATATCATACTGAGAATTATTTTAGCAGTAATTATGCTAATGTAGTAATGACAGGAATGCATAAGCTATGCCTCATAGACTTTCTTGAAAAATATCAATGACAATGTTAACAGGAACAAAACAATGACATGCTCTCATCTATATTATATTTATTTAGGTACAAACAATGTACGTTTGTTGCATAAGTCTCTCATTGTTTGTGCTTTGGATTTACATAACATACATTGAATCAGGCAAACATAGTTTTATCCAGATTGTAATGAATAAATCTAGTTAATATTTCGCCAGGTAATACAAAGTATACATTGCTAATGGAAGTTCATTTAATTATCAAAAAACTAATGTTTTATAACCTTTTTCAGGGCGCAAACCCACCATTCAGAGACTTAAGTCTACTGCCATTCCCAGCCTTTCTTCCTGGACCAAGCAAGAGACTGAATCGTCCGCAAAAAGAAAAATCAGGGCAGTTTCCTGTGAAAACAAAAGAACCAAACTTGATGAATATTGTAGTAGAAATCTAGAGGAAAGTTTTGATTGTAAAGTTGGTTTTCCTGAAGAAGTCATTCATACTGCAGAAAGGATTTATGACTGTCCACCACCAACTGCCGAGCTAATGTTGAGCTTCACAGATGGAATTATGCAAACACCATCAATGCCTATGTTTTCAGCAGAGAATTTTGAAATGAAGACATGTGACACAGCCATGCATTTTTATACTGGTTTAGAGTTGTATACTAAATTTTTATTTGTTTTGACCACACTTGGTCCAGCAGCACATTGTTTGAGATACATATATTTTCAAATTGATAGGGTGTCAGTTGAAAATCAGTTTTTTATGACTTTGATGAAATTGAGGCATTATACAACGAACTTTGAACTTTCTAGATTCTAGATTGAATCTAGTGTTAAGAATATTGTGTATACATGGATTGTTTTTATGTCTAAACAGTGGTGTGAGGCTAACACTTGGCCATCTAGTGGTTTAGTCAGGTATTTTTCACCATCCAACTTCAAATTAATTATAAAGTTTCCTACGACTTGGATTATTATTGACAACACAGAATATCCCGTGATAAAACCTAAAGCTCCTAGAGCTCAGGCAACCTTTTCATCATATAAAAACAGAAACACTGAAAGTACTTGTATGTTCGACACCTGGTGGTTTAGTCAACTATGTCTCTAATGCATATGTTGGTTCTACCAGTGACTATGAAATAGTTGAAAGATGTAGAATAGTTCAATTATGTGATCCAGGTGACAGTGTGATGGCAGACAAAGGTTTAAATGTGCAAGATTTGTTTGCTAACTTTTTTCAAAAAAAGAAACAGAATTAGTTCCAATACTCTTATACGGGATAGAAAAGTCTCCAATTAACATGTGCACATAGAGCGAATTATTGGACTTGGCAAAACATACAAAATTCTAATAAATCCTATGAATGGAACTGAAACAAAACTTTCATCTGAAATAACATTTAGTTGTACTATGTTGTGTAATTTTAGAACTTGTATTGTGCCAAAGGATGCATAAATAAAAGTGACACAATGAATTTTGTTCTGATATATATATATTTATAATTACATGCACATGTAAATTGTAATGCATATAAAAATAAGGAGATGTGGTATGATATTCAGTGAGTTTATCGAACTAAAGTGCATAAGAAATGGGTTTAAGCAGTTACAGGTGTTACTGTCACCGTACAATCTCCTACAATGAGAAAAACTTGTACCATGTAAAACATTTCAGAGATCTTACCACTAAGTTTTGTTGTCTCACCTTGACTTTGGTGAATTGTTTATATCTGTTGATGTAAATATAAAAAAGAAGATGTGGTATGATTGCCAATGAGACAACTCTCCACAAGAGACCAAATGACACAGAAATTAACAGCTATAGGTCACAGTACGGCCTTCAACAATGAACAAAGCCCATACCGCACAGTCAGCTATAAAAGGCCCCGAAATGACAATGTAAAACAATTTAAACAAGAAAACTAACGGCCTAATTTATGTACAAAAAATGAACGAATATAACAAATATGCAACACATAAACAAACAACAACCACTGAATTACAGGCTCCTGACTTGGGACAGGCACGCCACATACATGTACATACAGAATATGTCGGGGTTAAACATGTTAGCGGGATCCCAACCCTCCCCCTAACCTGGGACAGTGGTGTAACAGTACAATATAAGAACGAACTATAAAAATCAGTTGAAAGAGGCTTAACTCATCAGATGGATAAATACAAATACAAGTGGACGTGGTTGGGTAGTTGTACATCCAAACAACAAAAAGACACTAAGTACAGATCTGAGAGTACTCAAAGTTACTGACAGCTAGTTCAAAGCCACTAACAACTGATAAAAAAATCTTGCATCTAAGACTAAATTATCAATCCGTAAGCTCCCTTTAGAATTTTATAAATTTTAGATTTTACATTTCTGAGTTATGGGGTTTTATTCATTAAAAAAGGGGGGATTTTCCAGTTTTTGTCGAGCCTGCAACTTTTGTCGCAGAAAGCTCGACATAGGGATAGTGATGTGTCGGCAGCATTATCTAACTTCTTAAAAGCTTTATATTTTAGAAGGTGGAAGACCTGGATGCTTCATACTTTGTATATGGATGCCTCATGTTACGAAGTTTCCGTCAGCCACATGTCCAATGTCCTTGACCTCATTTTCATGGTTCAGTGACTACTTGAAAAAAAAGTTAACATTTTTTGTAATGTTAAATTCTCTCTTATTATAAGTAGTAGGATAACTATATTTGGTATGTGCGTACCTTGCAAGGTCCTCATGCCCGTCAGACAGTTTTCACTTGACCTCGACCTCATTTCATGGATCAGTGAACAAGGTTAAGTTTTGGTGGTCAAGTCCATATCTCAGATACTATAAGCAATAGGTCAAGTATATTCGGTGTATGGAAGGACTGTAAGGCGTACATGTCCAACTGGCAGGTGTCATCTGACCTTGACCTCATTTTCATGGTTCAGTGGTTATAGTTAAGTTTTTGTGTTTTGGTCTGTTTTCTTATACTGTATGCAATAGGTCTACTATATTTGGTGTATTGAATGATTGTAAGGTGTACATGTCTAGCTGGCAGGTCTCATTTGACCTTGACCTCATTTTCATGGTTCAGTGGTTATTGAGTTTTGGTCTTTTTTTCTAATACTATATGCAATAGGTCAACTATATTTGGTGTATGGAAATATTTTATGATCTATATGTCAGTCGTGCAGGTTTTATTTGACCTTGACCTCATTTTCACAGTTCATTGCTCAGTGTTAAGTTTTTGTGTTTTGGTCTGTTTTTCTTAAACTATAAGCAATAGGTCAACTATATTTGTTGTATGGAAGAATTGTTAGCTGTACATGTCTGCCTGGCATGGTTCATCTGACCTTGACCTCATTTTCATGGTTCATTGGTCAATGTTTAGTTTTCTTGGTTAATGTTAAGTTTATGTGACAGTTGTAATAAAGCTTTATATTAAGGACTATCAACATAATATCAGTGATAAGTAAAGAAGGCGAGACATTTCAGCGTGTGCACTCTTGTTGGACAACAACTCAAAAATGCTTTAAGCAGTTCGCATGAAACTTTGGTGAATTATTTATAGCTATTGATGTAATCTCCCTATAGATTTTCATAAATTTCAAATATGACATTGAGAAGAAATTGAACTTTATTTGTTTATAGTCTGGCAACAGATTTATTAAGTATTGCGCAACAGCACAGTGTATTGCACAACAGCAAGAAATCTTTAATTGAATATAAATTCAATTCATATAACCGATTTCAAGTTCTTTGACTACATTTATTCAGAAACTATAATATGTCAAATATTTAATTACAATCCAAATTCAGACCTGTATCAAGCTTGAATATTGTGTCCATTTTTGCCCCAACTGTTCAGGGTTGGACCTCTGCGGGTGTATCCAGCTGCGCTCAGCGAATCAGTTTATTTCTTAATTAAGAACTCCTTTTTTCATTCATAAATTACTTTAAACTTGGAAATATAATTTTGCTTGGAGTTATAGTTTCTTAAAAAAGTATTGTCATTGAAAGAGTTGACATGTTGCAATGTACATTTATTCTACATAGTTCTATGGTACCAAATCAAAAGTTTATATAAAAGAAAGAAGTCAAAGGTTTCCCATCATAGTTAAGTTACATACATTTTTTTTGTACCTGAGGTCGTTGAATATAGATCATTATATAAATAAGGAGATGTGTTATGATTGCCAATGAAACATCCATACTTAACAGTAACAAACCACATTTGCAGAGTTGAATAAAATACAGTTGATAACATTTACTTATTACTAAAAAGAAAATGCCTAACTATTTTAAACAGTATTTGAATATCAATTATATGGTCATTTTTATAAACTTCCTTTTACAAAACTTTGAATTTTTCGAAAAACTAAGGATTTTCTTATCCAAGGAATAGATTACCTTAGCCGTATTTGGCACAACTTTTTGGAATTTTGGGTCCTCAATGCTCTTCAACTTTGTACTTGTTTGGCTTTATAACCATTTTGATCTGAGCGTCACTGATGAGTCTTATGTAGACGAAACGCGCGTCTGGCGTATTAAATTATAATCCTGGTACCTTTGATAACTAATTTGACTATAAACATAGATAAAAAAAGGTACAAACTGGACATAATGCACTAGTTCATAAACAAGTGAGAACAATCACCTTCATATAGTGCTCAGAATATGACATTCATATAACTTGTTCAATATCATTAGAGAACTCTAAATCTTAAATACTGAAAGCCACCTCTGATAAGTACACTGTACTATGCAAGATAATGATATAACTGGACTAAAAATACACACAACCTGTAATTAACTGCCTTTACAGCGCTTTCGCGCTTTGATTTTTTTCTGTATTTGGTTTTCCTTATATGTATCTTTATAGGACTAAGTTTCATGCTGCAGTAGACTGAATGCCAAACAAATATTTATGCCCTGTTTATGGAAATATGCAGGGATCATTTTTCTTGTCTGTGTGTGACTCTATCTGTTAATTTGTACTGTTGTCCATTCCATTTCAGGTTAAAGTTTTGGTTTCAGATAATTAACAATCAAGTTGTGGTCACATCAATGTGAAACTCTGTACACATGATCAAAATTATATGCCTTATTAGGGTTTTGACCTAGATTTCACAGTTCACTGAACATGAAAATGTGATAGTGTGAGTGAAGCATGGTGTATCATTATTCAGATCAAATGTAAGTTTAATGAATACTTCCATAAATTTATATATCCAACATTTATATTTTCAGTTCAATATTACAAATACCAGGGGAATCAACATTAAAACGTAACTTCCAGCTTATACAACAGAGAGAAGGTCAACCTGGGGCCAAGCCCACGGCACCACCACAACAGGCCCCTAATCACCAAAACAGAGCTCAAAGACCTCAACAACAACAACATAGACCACCATCATCTCATCAGGGATGGCCAGTTTCTAGTCACTTCCAAGCTCAGCCAGTCAGTCAACAACAACAGAAACAAGTCCCTAGACAGTCCCATGTTATAGGTACGTTAGATATTGATCATTGTTATGGTATACAGACAATCATTATCACATCAGAACATACATAAAAGTGTGTATCACAAAGCAATGGGGTCAAGGTAGCTGTTGGATATCAATCTATGATTTCTATATTGAGGGTTAGTTGGTACCAAGGTATTTTTTGGAATAATAGTTAGTAATTTATAAATTCAAGGATCAGGAGTTTTTACATTGTTTAATTGAGAAGATACTTGCATTAGACCACTGATATTTGGAGTTTTATTATATTAAAAATCGTAATACACGTATCTCATTTACAAGGACATTTTGTAGCATTATTTGTAAGTCATGCTGATTTTGAAGTAATTACATTGAGTAAAGTTTTATGATAGGGTAGGCTTAAGAAATAAGTACCGAAAGGGCTAATTAGGTAAACTTCGAAGGTGATGGCACCTAGTAGTCAATCAGTTTATCAATCTTAATGCATTTGACAGAATGAAAATGCTAGGAATAATATGCAATCATATCTGTAAACAGAAAACATGTTTTTGGCAGTTAAATTAATTAACAATTTTATTTGGTCTTATAAAGTTTCAGGACGTTTCATAGGTAATCTATTGTTAATCTTGTAACTACATGAGTGATGCTTTCTAATCTTAACATTTCTTCTAGAAAATTGTCACTTCTTAAAAGTCATTATCTTATTTTTTAAGAATCTTGCAACCTTTTTTAGCATGGTGAATGTCATTGCAATTATAGCATTATTCTACGTAGTATATCAATATAGGTATGATATACAACACACACATACATTGGTGTGATATACAACACACACATACATTGGTATGATATACAACACACACATACATAGGTATGATATACAACACACACATACATAGGTATGATATACAACACACACATACATAGGTATGATATACAACACACACATACATAGGTATGGTATACAACACACACATACATTGGTATGGTATACAACACACACATACATTGGTATGATATACAACACACACATACATTGGTATGATATACAACACACACATACATAGGATGTTAAACAGCATGCACAATATACTTAGTAAATAAACAGGTTGACAGAAAATACTTTAAATGTTCATGTGAGGGTGAAAAAGATACTTTTCATTGTCTTTGACTAATTAAGTGTAAAATTTTACTGTAAACAAATTTTGATTGTATGTGTTTTATCCGTTTGTTTGGAGTTGTTTTATCAGTCTGTTTGTAGGTGTTTAATCAGTTTAAAATTTGTTTGTAGGTGTTTTTATCAGTGTGTTTGTAGGTGTTTCATCAGTGCATTTGATGGGTGTTTTATCAGTGCGTTTGTACGTGTTTTATCAGTGTGTTTTTACATGTTTTATCAGTGCGTTTGTACATGTTTTATCAGTGCATTTGTAGCTGTTTCAGAAGTGCATTTATAGCTGTTTTATCAGTGCGTTTGTAGCTGTTTCATCAGTGCATTTGTAGGTTTTTTATCAGTTTGTTTTTAGGTGTTTTATCAGTGTGTTTGTAGGTGTTTCATCAGTGTGTTTGTAGGTGTTTCATCAGTGCGTTTGTAGGTGTTTTATCAGTTTGTTAGTAGGTGTTTTATCAGTTTGTAGCTGTTTCATCAATGTTTGTAGGTGTTTTATCAGTGTCATTGTAGGTGTTTTATCAGTGTCATTGTAGGTGTTTTATCAGTGTCATTGTAGGTGTTTTATCAGTTTGTTTGTAAGTGTTTTATCAGTGCGTTTGTAGCTGTTTAATCAGTGCATTTGTAGGTTTTTTATCAGTTTGTTTTTAGGTGTTTTATGAGTGTGTTTGTAGCTTGTTTCATCAGTGTGTTTGTAGGTGGTTCATCAGTGCTTTTGTAGGTGTTTTATCAGCTTGTTAGTAGGTGTTTTATCAGTTTGTAGCTGTTTCATCAGTGTTTGTACATGTTTTATCAGTGCCATTGTAGGTGGTTTATCAGTTTGTAGCTGTTTCATCAGTGTTTGTATGTTTTATCAGTGCCATTGTAGGTGTTTTATCAGTGTGTTTGTAGGTGTTTTATCAGTGCATTTGTAGGTGTTTCATCAGTGTGTTTGTAGGTGTTTTATCAGTTTGTTTGTAGGTGTTTTATCAGTTTGTTTGTAGGTGTTTTATCAGTGCATTTGTAGGTGTTTTATCAGTTTGTTTGTAGGTGTTTTATCAGTTTGTAGGTGTTTCATTAGTGCATTTGTAATGCTTATCAGTGCGTTTGTATGTATTTTATCAGTGCCATTGTAGGTGTTTTATCAGGTTGTTTGTAGGTGTTTCATCAGTGAGTTTATATGTGTTTATCAGTTTGTTTGTGGGTGTTCATCAGTGCATTTGTAGCTGTGTTATCAGTTTGTAGCTGTTTTATCAGTGCCTTTGTTGGTGTTTTATCAATGTGTTTGTATGTGTTTCATCAGTTTGTAGATGTTTTATCAATGTGTTTGTAGATGTTTTATCAGTTCATGATATGAAATATTCATGGTAACATGACTGGTGTGATCAGTTTGTCTGATTTTTAGTTAATTTTTGTTTTGAGTAGGTATTATGGCATTTGCCCATAAGTATTCTATTTTTATACGACCGCAAAAATTAAAAATTTTTTGGTCGTATATTGGTATGACGTTGGCGTCGTCGTCGTCGTCGTCGTCGTCGTTGTCGTCGTCGTCGTCGTCGTCGTCGTCGTCCGGCGTCGTCTGGCGTCGTCCGAAGACACATTGGTTTTCGCACTCTAACTTTAGTTTAAGTGAATGGATCTCCATGAAATTTCACCATAAGGTTCAATACCACGAAAGGAAGGTTGGGATTGATTTTGGGGGTTATGGTACCAACAGTTAAGGAATTAGGGGCCAAAAAGGGGCCAAAAATAAGCATTTTTGTAATTTTCAGACAATAACTTGTGTGTAAGTGTATAGATCTCTCTGACATTGTACCACAAGGTTCCATATCACAAAGGGAAGGCTGTAATTGATTTTGGGGGTAATTGCCTCAAAATTTTAGGAATTAGGGGCAAAAAAAGGGGCAAAAAACAAGCATTTTTCTAGTTTCATGACAATAACTTGTGTGTAAGTGTTTGGATATTTCTGAAATTGTACTACAAGGTTCCATATCACAAAGGGAAAGCTGGAATTGAGTTTGGGGGTAATTGCCCGAAACGTTTAGGAATTGGGGGCCAAAAAGGGGCCAAAAATAAGCATTTTTCTAGTTTCCAGACAATAACTTGTGTTCAAGTGTATGGATCTCTCTGAAATTGTACTGCAAGGTACCATACCACAAAGGGAAGGCTGGGATTGAGTTTGGGGGTGATGAATCATAAGGGGGTTCAAAAAATTTGGGGGGGGAGATTTTTTTTTTTTTTTTTTTTCTTTTTTTCCTTTTTTTTTTCTTTTAAAATTTTCCATTTTAAGTTGATTATTTCTGATTTATATTTAAAAGCAAATAATAATGATATGGTAGGAGATACACACCAAACAGGATGTGTAAATTATTATATAATAAGTATTGTGCAATAGCAAGAAATTTTCAATTGCACAGTATTGCACAATAGCAAGAAATCTTCAATTGCACAGTATTGCGCAATAGCAAGAAATCTTCAATTGCACAGTATTGCGCAATAGCAAGAAATATCCAATAGCACAATATTGCGCAATAGCAAGAAATTGTCAATTGTACAGTATTGCGCAATAGCAAGAAATATTCAATTGCACAGTGTTGTGCAAAAGAAGATACTTCGTATAAATTGCTTATTTCTTGATCAATTTCAATGGGGTTTTATTCTTGAATTCTTGGGGTTCTTTAATATGCTGAATCTAACCGTGTATTAAGTTTTTGGATTTTGGGCCCCGTTTTTAAATTGGTCCACATTGAGGTCCAAAGGGTCCAAAATTTAACTTTGTTTGATTTCATCAAAAATTGAATTATTGGGGTTCTTTGATATGCCGAATCTAACCGTGTATTTAGATTTTTAATTTGGGGTCCCGTTTTTTAAATTGGTCTACATTAAGGTCCAAAGGGTCCAAAATTAAACTTAAATTGATTTTAACAAAAATTGAATTCTTGGGGTTCTTTGATATGCTGAATCTAAACATGTGTTTAGATTTTTGATTATGGGCCCAGTTTTCAAGTTGGTCCAAGTTGGGGTCCAAAATTAAACTTTGTTTGATTTCAACAAAAATTGAATATATGGGGTTATTTGATATGCAAAATCTAAACATGTATTTAGATTTTAGATTTTTGGCCCAGTTTTCAAGTTAGTCCAAATTGGGGTCCAAAATTAAACTTTGTTTGATTTCAACAAAAATTGAATATATGGGGTTATTTGATATGCAAAATCTAAACATGTATTTAGATTTTAGATTTTTGGCCCAGTTTTCAAGTTGGTCCAAATTGGGGTCCAAAATTAAACTTTGTTTGATTTCAACAAAAATTGAATATATGGGGTTCTTTGATATGCTGAATCTTACCATGTATTTAGATTTTTTATTTGTGGGCCTGCTATCAAATTGGTTCATATTGAGGTCAAAAGGGTCCAAAATTAAACTTTGTTTGATTTCATCAAAAATTGAATAATTGGGGTTCTTTGATATGCCAAATCTAACCGTGTTTTTAGATTTTTAATTTTGGGTCCCGTTTTTTAAATTTGTCTACATTAAGGTCCAAAGGGTCCAAAATTAAACTTAGTTTGATTTTAACAAAAATTGAATTCTTCGGGTACTTTGATATGCTGAATCTAAACATGTGTTTAGATTTTTGATTATGGGACCAGTTTTCAAGTTTGTCCAAGTTGGGGTCCAAAATTAAACTTTGTTTGATTTCAACAAAAATTGAATATATGGGGTTCTTTGATATGCTGAATCTAACCATGTATTTAGATTTTGGATATTGGACCATAATAGGTAAATTAAAAAAATTGAAGTTCTTAGACCACATTCTTTCTGTGTCAGAAACCTATGCTGTGTCAAATATTTAATCACAATCCAAATTCAGAGCTGTATGAAGCTTGAATGTTGTGTCCATACTTGCCCCAACTGTTCAGGGTTCGACCTCTGCGGTCGTATCAAGCTGCGCCCAGCGAAGCATTTTATTAGCCTATGCTGTTGTTTGTTTGTTTACATTGTTTATGTCACCTCCTCTGTTGTGCTTACATTCAGTTTTGCTTTATATATAATGGTCAGGAATTATGATCCAATAGTGGTAATCAACATGTTATACAAAATATGAGAGTTTGTATGCTGATGCCAATACATTTAAAATATAACAGATAAAAGTTTTTTAAACAACGTGTTCAGTTGAAGATGTATCAACCAGATACAATTATGCTTCTTTGATAAAAGGAAGATAAAAAATACATGTATGTAATAGCTTTTATGCCAAACATCTTGCTTACGAACATTTATGTGCAAATATTGGTGTTGTTACTAATGAATACAGGTTTAATCTCTACAAGGCACAATCTTATCTAGGTATTTAGGGTGTGAATTAGGAGTAACTTCTTTTAATTGTGGCTTATGGGATTTCTTTTTTTATTACTGTGAACATGAACATTTTCACCCAAGGGTTATTTTAGCTGATATTGAGATCATGTAAATTGTGTGGAAATACCCCTTGCACAAAAGGTTTATAAAAAATCAGAAATATTAATGTAAATGGTGCAAGGTTCATTTAATGCACCAATTGAACCCCTGTCCTTATATTTATACAAAAAACGAACCCTTTAAAATATCCACATTTACGGGAAGAAATTAATTTTCAAATTCAATATTGATGAAAACAAGACATTAAAATCTGGAAAATATTTTGTTTTTTTGGTCATGAAATGTGACTTTTGCTGTAGAGATTGTCCTATGAGTGTTGATATTGCTTATCTTTGCTGTATTTATACCTTGTAGAAGAGGAAGAGGAGCAGAATGAGGAACCAGATTCAGGTTACCTCCCTTTGACATTTATATTGAGTGCTTTTTCATTTTGCTGTGAAACACATTTATCAACTTTTCTTGAACTATTCGTTATTATTTAAATAATAGTTTGTATTAAACCTATTTCATTTGAAAATGACCTGGGCCATTAATGGCCTTCCTCCATCTTGACTGAAGACAATCTGGAAGTATCTCCCATGGGTCATCACATTTATTTCAAATCAAAAACTTTTATAATCCCTGAAAATCTATATAATGAATGGTTACTATTTGTTTTGTTTTGATTCAAAGCATGAAATAGAAAAGTTGATATTGTGAACATTTACTCGGACATAAGCATATAAAATGAAAAGTTATTAGCAATAAAACAATATTTCACCAAATATATATTTCTCATCAGACATGTCAAAAAATACAAGCAGTAAGTTTAGACCATTATGAAACAGATTTGATACGAGATATTTTGATATTAATCATTTTGAAGATTGATTAGTTGTGATTATTTGAATTTGAATATAATGTTTAACCACTAGTGTTTAAGGAGCCGGTATAGGGCCTCATCTTTACCCCTTAAATTGGATAATCAAAAAGTATGCTAAATCTATCAAGTAACATCCTGCAAATGTTCTCATGACATTGTCAAATATCAGTATCTTTATTTGTATGCCTCGCCTATGATCCAAGGGGTGGGGGTAATGTTATCCAGTTGGTCCGTCCCCTAACAGGTTAAAGTTTTTGGTTAAGGGTAGTTTACTATGAAGATGTGGTTAAAACTTGGTACAAATGTTCATTATGATGTTACATTTTTAAGTCATATGCCAAACGAGGGTTTTGATTCCGATTTCATGGATCACTGAACTTAGAAATATAGTGAGAACTGGCAATTCTGTCATATAGATACAGATTCATTGTCATACATATTTAATAAAGTTTTTTTTAACCAAACTTCAGGAATAAATTAAACATTGATTAGCGTGTGAAGAAATGATTAAATAAATTGGTGAATTAGACATATGACTTTCTTCTTATGTAAAGACTTGTCCCTGGAATATATGTAAATCTTCAAATTAGCTCATCCTGGCACTATAAATAGTAACATGTCAAATATTAATCAGGAATATTGTTATGATATAGTATGTGTGTTTAATGCATGATATGGTAGTAGACAAAAGCTATATATCTATGTTAAATATAGTGTAATGAATTTTTTGGTAAAAAAAATTTTGCATGGCCATATTGTATACTTGGAGAAATCTATAGTCTTCAGTTAGCTAGACAACATTAAATGAAAAGATATTTATGAATGTTTATACATTTTTATCAATTGATATTAGATGAATTATGATATGCCAGTCCAAAGTGTTGTAAAAATAAAGTAAATAAAACCTGATGTTATTGTTTGCATGACATATAAACATAGATAAGTAGGTCATATTTATTTTGTAAAATTGAACATATATAGACATACAGAAATATAAAAATGATTGGAAATGGCAGATCGTGATTATTGAGTATGTGTTTTTTTTTTTAATTTCAGAGCAGAGACCATTAAGTGCTGGTCATAAACCACAGGGTGACCCAAGGAATCAAATGTACAAAGGACATGTTAAAAAACCAGAGGTATGTAGATCTGAATTTTTGTTGAGCCTGTGACTTCTGTCGCAGAAACCTCGACTTAGGGAAAGTGTGGCGGCAGCAGCATTAACTTACTTCTTAAAAGCTTAATATTTCAGAAGGTAGAAGACCTGGATGCTTCATACTTTGTATATAGATGCCTTATGATATGAAGTTTTGTCTGACATATGTCAATTGTCTTTGACCTCATTTTCATGGTTCAGTGAAAACTTGAAAAAAGTTAAGAATTTTTGTAATGTTAATTTCTTTCTTATTATGAGTAATAGGATAACTATATTTGGTATGTATGTACCTTGCAAGATCCTCATGCCTGTCAGGCAGTTTTCACTTGACCTCAACCTCATTTCATGGATCAGTGAACAAGGTTAAGTATTTGTGGTCAAGTCCATATTTCATATACTATAAGCAATAGGTCTACTATATTTGGTGTATGTAATGATTGTAAGGTGTACATGTCCAACTGGCAGTTGTCATCTGACCTTGACCTCATTTTCATGGCTCAGTGGTAAAAGTTAAGTTTTTGTGTTTTGGTTTGTTTTTATATGACAGCAAAAAAATTTTTGGGATCGTAAGATGTCGTCGTCTGTGTCGTCGTCCGAAGACACATTGGTTTCCGGACAATAAGTTTAAGTGAATGGATCTTTATGAAATTTTTTAAGAAGGTTCAATACCACAAAAGGAAGGTTGGGATTGATTTTGGGGATGATGGTCCCAACCGTTGAGGAAAAAGGGGCCCAAAACAAGCATTTTTCTAGTTTCAGGATAATAACTTGTGTATAAGTATTTCGATTGCTCTGAAATTGTACCACAATGTTTAATTCCACAAGTAGAAGGTTGGGATTCATTTAAGAGGTTATGGGGCCAACAGTTTAGGAATTAAGGGCCAAAAGGGGGCCAAAAACGAGCATTCTTCTAGTTTCATAACAATAACTTGTGTGTAAGTGTATGGATCTCTCTGACATTGTACCACAAGGTTCCATATAACAAAGGAAAAGCTGGAATTGAGTTTGGGCATAATTGCCCAAAAATGTTTAAGAATAAGGGGCCAAAAATAAGCATTTTTCTAGTTTCCAGACAATAACTTGTGTTCAAGTGTATGGATCTCTCTGAAATTGTACTGCAAGGTACCATACCACAAAGGGAAGGCTGGGATTGATTTTGTGGGTAATTGCCTTAAAATTTTAGGAATTAGGGGCCAAAAAGGGGCAAAAAACAAGCATTTTTCTAGTTTCAGGACAATAACTTGTGTGTAAATGCATGGATCTTTATGAAATTGTACTACAAGGTTCCATGTCACAAAGGGAAAGCTGGGTTTGAGTTTGGGGGTAATTGCCCTAAATGTTAAGGAATTTGGGGCCAAAAAGGGGCCAAAAAACAAGCATTTTTCTAGTTTCCAGACAATAACTTGTGTTCAAGTGTATGGATCTCTCTGAAATTGTACTGCAAGGTACCATACCACAAAGGGAAAGCTGGGATTGAGTTTGGGGGTGATGAATCATAAGGGGGTTCAAAAAAATTGGGGGGTTTCCTTTTTTCCTTTTTTTTTCTTTAAAATTTTCCATTTTAAATTGGTTATTTCTGATTTATATATGAAAGCAAATAATAATGATATGGTTTGAATAGGTAAATTAAAATTTTTTAAGTTCTTAGACCACATTCATTCTGTGTCAGAAACCTATACTGTGTCAAATATTTAATCACAATCCAAATTCAGTGCTGTATCAAGCTTGAATGTTGTGTCCATACTTGCCAGACTGTTCATGGTTCGACCTCTTCGGTTGTATCAAGCTGCGCCCAGCGAAGCATTTTATTCTAATACTGTACTCAATAGGTCAACTATATTTGGTGTATGGAAATATTTTACGATGTACATGTCAGTCTGGCAGGTTTTATTTGACCTTGACCACATTTTCATGGTTCATTGCTCAATGTTAATTTTTTGTGTTTTGGTCTGTTTTTTTAATACTGTATGCATTAGCTCAACTATATTTGGTATATGGAAATTTTTTATGATGAACATGTCAGTCTGGCAGGTATCATCTGACCTTCACCACATTTTCATGGTTCATTGATCAATGATCAGTTTTCTTGTTTAACTTTGTTTCTTAGATACTATAAGCAATAGGTCAACTATATTTGATGCATGGAATGATTTTAAATTGTACATAGAAATAAGAAGATGTGGTATGAGTGCCAATGAAACAACTCTCCAAGTCACAATGTGTAAAAAGTAAAACAATTATAGGTCAAAACATGTCTGTCTGGCAGGGTTCATCTGACTTTGACCTCATTTTCATGGTTCATTGGTCAATATAGAATTTCCATGGTTTGGTCTATTTCTTTTATACTATAAGCAATAGGTCATCTATATTCGGTGTATGGAATGATTGTGTTAAAGGTGTACATGTATTTCAGGCTTGGTTTAGCTGACCTTGACCTCATTTTTAACCGGATTTTCTAAGGAAAAATCGGTTATTGATTTGGGGATGTACGGCGGGCGGGTGGGCGCCTGTCAAACAGTGTCAGTTCATTAACATGAAAACGCTTTGACGAAAATTTGATATTTTGTTTCCTGTGACTAAATGAAGGTCAAGTTCAATTTTCACAATTTTAGCTTTTCTCGTTGAGTTGTAGACCTTTTAATAGCCAAAAGTTATACTTATTATATGATTGAATTATTTCCCTTTGAACAGAAATGGCAAATATCAATTTCATTAGATAATAATCTATTTTTATTATGCCCCACCTACGATAGTAGACGGGCATTATGTTTTCTGGTCTGTGCATCCGTTCGTTCATTCGTTCGTTTGTTTGTTTGTTCGTTCGTTCGTATGTTCGTTTTTCCGTCCGTCCATTTATTCGTTCATCCGTCCGTCTGTCCCGCTTCAGGTTAAAGTTTTTGGTCAAGGTAGTTTTTGATGAAGTTGAAGTTCAATCAATTTGAAACTTAGTACACATGTTCCCTATGATATGATCTTTCTAATTTTAATGCCAAATAAGAGTTTTGACCCCAATTTCACGGTCCACTGAACATAGAAAATGATAGTGTGAGTGGGGCATCCGTGTACTATGGACACATTCTTGTTAAAGGATATATTTCATTACATTACATTGTGTAGATAAAGTTGTTGACATTGATAGATAAGTTGCAGATCTATATTAGTTTGTGACAAATGAAAGAAAAAATAATGGGAACTATTAATTATATATATAAAGTTTGATTACACTAAGTGTTTTTAAATAATTTTCACCTGTTATCAGATTACAAAGCATGTGTATTAATGATAAATGACATTTTGGATTTTTTTTCTTTTCTTTGGTAAATTGTTTGAAGAAATTTGTGGTAGGTTTGTTTGTTATTCTGTATAAACTAATTTTCTGAATGCTATATATATATATTTTTTTTTTTTGATGAAGCGAACTCCTTTAAAAACTAAGCTTATATTGTCTATTAATAAACATATATTTAGATTTCTGATTTTGGGCCCAGTTTTCAAGTTGGTCCAAATCCGGGTCCAAAATTAATCTGTGTTTGATTTCAACATAAATTGAATATATATAAGGTTCTTTGAAATGCTGAATCTAAACCTGTATTTATTTTCATTATTAATTAGATAATACCACATTGAGGTCCAAAGGGTCCTAAATTAAACTTTTGTTTGATTTCATCAAAAATTGAATTCTTGGGGTTCTTTGATATGCTGATTCTAACAATGTACTTAGATTTTGGATATTGGACCATAATAGGTAAATGTCCGATTTCAAAGATTTATGGTGTGGGTATATGTTGTGCTGTTACACAACTGTCCTAGGTTAGGGGAGGTTTGGGCGCTACCAAGTTAGTTTCTGTTTTGGCTTCAGGTTTTAAGTTGTTATTCAATAAGCTTTTTTTATATAAAGATAATGATAAGACATGTTATGTATCAAATATTGTTTTTTGCAGGATTTGGATGTGCTAGCTGCCCATTTAAATGAGCTAGGAGCTGATGACAAACCAACCACGACAGTTCTTATTGAGGATGACAGATCAGATGATGAGGAAGAGGAGGTAGTCAACCGTGACGGTACACTTTTAGCTTCTGAGCCAGCTCGTCCGTTGTAAGTATACAACAGAGTAATTTGACAATTTTCCTTTTTAAATCTACTTGTCTCTTGCAACAGAGTGAAGAGACAAACTTTCTAGAGTTTGAAAGTCCATAGATAATCTCTTTATGTCTATTTTCATAGGCAACAGAGTGAAGAGACAAACTTTCTAGAGTTTGGAAGCACATAGATAATCTGTTGATGGCTATTTTCCTAGGACCAAAGATAATCTGTTTATGGCTATTTTCCTAGAACCATAGATAATCTGTTTATGGCTATTTTCCTAGGACCATAGATAATCTTTTTATGGCTATTTTCCTAGGACCATAGATAATCTGTTTATGGCTATTTTCCTAGAACCATAGATAATCTGTTTATGGCTTTTTTTTCCTAGGACCATAGATAATCTGTTTATGGCTATTTTCATAGGACCAAAGGTAATCTGTTTATGGCTATTTTCCTTGAACCATAGATAATTTGTCTTAGGACTATTTTCCTTGGACCATAGATAATCTGTTTATGGCTATTTTCCTAAGACCATAGATAATCTGTTCATGGCTATTTTCCTAGGACCATAGATAATCTGTTTATGGCTATTTTACTAGGACCATAGATAATCTGTTGATGACTATTTTCCTAGGACCATAGATAATCAGTTTATGGCTATTTTCCTAGGACCATAGATGATCTGACTATTGCTATTTAACTAGAATCATAGATAATCTGTTTATGGCTAGTTTCCTAGGCAACATCAATGATGGTATCACATTCACACTCATCAATGATGGACAACTTCAAAGCAAGAGGAAAATTGCTGTTCTTAATCTTGAATGTTGTGTTCAAATAAATAAAGAAATACATTGTTTTCTTAGCCTGTTTATTTATTATCATTAAGGTATACAACTTGTAAGAATTTATAAAATAACAAATACTTTTTATATGACCGTCGCACATTGGTTTTCGCACTCTAACTTTAGTTTAAGTGAATGGATCTCTATGAAATTTTACCATAAGGTTCAATACCACAAAAGGAAGGTTGGGATTGATTTTGGGGGTTATGGTACCAACAGTTAAGGAATAAGGGGCCAAAAATAAGCATTTTTGTAACTTCTAGACATAACTTGTGTGTTAGTGTATGGATCTCTCTGACATTGTACCACAAGGTTCCATATCACACAGGGAATGCTGGGATTGATTTTAGAGGGGTAATTGCCTCAAAATATTAGGAATTAGGGGCCAAAAAAGGGGCAAAAAACAAGCATTTTTCTAGTTTCATGACAATAACTTGTGTGTAAGTGTATGGATCTTTATGAAATTGTACTACAAGGTTACATATCACAAAGGGAAAGCTGGAATTGAGTTTGGGGGTAATTGCCCAAAACGTTTAGGAAAAAGGGGCCAAAAAGGGGCCAAAAATAAGCATTTTTCTAGTTTCCAGACAATAACTTGTGTTCAAGTATATGGATCTCTCTGAAATTGTACTGCAAGGTTCCATACCACAAAGGGAAGGCTGGGATTGATTTTGGGGGTAATTGCTTCAAAATTTTAGGAATTAGGGGCCAAAAAAGGGGCAAAAAACAAGCATTTTTCTAGTTTCAGGACAATAACTTGTATGTAAGTGTATGGATCTTTATGAAATTGTACTACAAGGTTCCATATCACAAAGGGAAAGCTGGGTTTGAGTTTGGGGGGTAATTGCCCTAAATGTTTAGGAATTTGGGGCCAAAAAGGGGCCAAAAAACAAGCATTTTTCCAGACAATAACTTGTGTTCAAGTGTATGGATCTTTCTGAAATTGTACTGAAGGTACCATACCACAAAGGGAAGGCTGGGATTGAGTTTGGGGGTGATGAATCATAAGGGGGTTCAAAAAATTTGGGGGGGATTTTTTTTTCTTTAAAATTTTCCATTTTAAATAGGTTATTTCTGATTTATATATAAAAGCAAATAATAATGATATGGTTTGAATAGGTAAATTAAAAAATTTTAAGTTCTTAAACCACATTCATTCTGTGTCAGAAACCTGTGCTGTGTCAAATATTCAATCACAATCCAAATTCAGTGCTGTTTCAAGCTTGAATGTTGTGTCCATACTTGCCCCAACTGTTCAGGGATCGACCTCTGTGGTCGTATCAAGCTGCGCCCAGCGAAGCATTTTATTAGATAGTATTACATTTTAATTTGTGGTAATCTGTAGTTCAGACAATTTAAAAAATTAGTTGAATTGTTTTTCTTTATCTGGAAGGTTTCTTGAATATCTGCCAATAAAATGAAAGTATTCATAACTATATACAAACTCACAAGTTGTCCTACATCTTTATGCCCCCGCCGTAGCGGAGTGGGCATTAAATTTTACCCTTGTCAGTCTGTACGTCCGTACGTCCCATAATTGGTTTCCGTTCTCTAACTTTAGTTTGCCTTAACCAAATGTTATGAAACTTATACACAATGCTTATTACCTTAAAACACAGACCAAGATTGAAATTTGGTGTTTTTTTTTGTTTCCTTTCTCTAATTTTAGTTTGCCTCAACTAAATGTTATGAAACCTATATACAATGCTTATTACCACAAAACACAGATCAAGTTTGAATTTTGGTGGCGTTACTTTTACCGTTCTTAAGTTATGCCCCTCTACAAATGGAAATATTGCTGAATTTTTGGTTTCCGTTCTCTAACTTTAGTTTGCCTCAACCAAATGTTATGAAACTTATGCACAATGCTAATTACCACAAAACACAGATCAAGTTTGAATTTTGGTGGCGTCACTTTCACTGTTCTAGAGTTATGCCCCTTTACAAATGGAAAAATTGCTAAACTTTTGGTTTCCGTTCTCTAACTTAAGTTTGCCTCAACTAAGTGTTATGAAACGTATACACAATGCTTATTACCACAAAACTCAGATCAGGTACAAATTTAGGTAGCGTCACTTTTACAGATCTTGAGTTATGTCCCTTTATAACATTATATGCAAGCGGGGGCATCATCTGTGTCCCATGGACACATTCCCCATTTATTCATACTCTAATATATATTGATGTTTAATTTCAGACCACCTGGTAATTACAGTAAGGACACATTAGAAACACTTTCTTCTATGGTTGATGGTAGGTATTAGACATTACACAATTCTTGGATCAATAGGCAATGGAATACTATCAATTTTCTGAAAGCAACTAACATCACATAAAAAATAAATCATTTCAAGCACTGAAATTAATAATGTTTTCATGATAACCAAACAGTCCAATGATATTCATGAAAAATACTATAACAAATATACTATATATACAAAACATTTTAAAGGCAGATCATTAATTTTACTGTTTCTGTCTAATTTATTCATAACATTTATGGATTCAGGACGACTTAAAGCTTGACATATAAAGACACCTATCACTATTTATAGACTGTATATTTCCATATAGAAGTGTTCTGGTTATTTTTGTTGTCTGGTTGCTATCTTATTGACTTATACCCAACATTCACTTTTATTCATTTATAGGATAATATAAGTTGTAAATTAGGAGGATTAAACATGGACATTTTTTGGACGAAAAATTTCAGAGAATATAAATGATAGCGTCATAAGTAAAAAGTTAAAGCTGTCTTCTAAGAGTTTTTCAAATATAACGCGTTAACTGGACTAAGTTTTTACAATGATATCAATCAGAATCTTAAATGCATAAGATTAATTTGCAATATATGTATCTGAAATTAGCCAAAGTATATTTGCTTTTTCCGGAATTTGGACTTTTTTATACTTAACATAGAGGTTATTGCACATAGTCCTTAATCTTTGTTCTTATTCCCTATTTTAGAGCCTAAAACAAATAGGTTTGATATACTGAAAGTTGGTTTATTTATACTTAACATAGTGGTCATTGCACTTGGTTCAAAGTCTTTGTACATAGTCCTTAGTCTTAGTGCCTATTTTAGAGCCAAACAAATAGGTTTGCTTTGCTGGAAGTTAGGTTTTGTCTTATACTTTACATACTATTATCAAAGTACAGATGACTGGCAGATAGATGTTATTGGCTAATTGACACTTGTTTCAGTTGTTTCAGAAAAAGTACATAGGTCTTTAGAGGCAATTTTTTTAATCAATTTGACGCACTATAAAATGAATAAACAAGCAGTTGATGTAAAACTTTAGGTACAATATGTGAATATGTAAGACTCTCCATAAATCTGTAAAGTGTAGGTACGATATATGAATATGTAAGACTCTCCATAAATCTGTAAAGTGTAGGTACAATATATGAATATGTAAATCTGTATATACAACTTCTATATATTATGTGACAATGTTTGTTGATTGTAGACAACACATTACAATCTATGATTATACATGATGTTATACATGATGATGGTGAGTATAGATACAACAAGCAGTAACACTGAATAGCTACCATCAATTTGACATTTACTCAAAGACAATAGATAACACTTAAATTAAAAAAAAAAACAGATTTTATATTTAAAAAAAAGGTAAATTACTAAGAATTTTAAACATTTTTTAGCATGTCAAATTCCATGTTGCATATGTGTAAATATAAAGGTAAACCCAATGTTACCAACACAATCATTTAAGGTAGATTGACTTGGTGGCTGCCATCTTGGAACTTCTCTGTAAACTTGGTGTTAGCAAACATTTATTGGGTCACTTAACTATATAGCTGAACTGGCTTTCTGGTTCTAAAATGATTCAAAATGTAAAGTTCTTTTTATTGAGACAAATTTATTAGCCATCTAATTGTCCACATGTCTCAGTTTATAAAGAGGGAAATATATACAATATGATTTGTAAAATTTGAAAGTCAATCAACCTTAATTGCAGGCATTAGTATGTACCACATACCTTGAACCTGTGGTCAGTCAAAAATGTTCTGATAACCTGCACATTGACATAAACCTGGCTTGTTCACTGACATGTAACTATAGTCTAGTTAAGTAAGGGACCATCAGTTTTACTGCTTATTGTATTGTGTGTGACATATTTTACAAGAATGTTGTAAATAATTATGCCTTTTGATTTCAAACCAATATTTTCATATATTTTATTAGGATACCATTTTCTCAGTCATTACATTAAGGTATTTGGATAAAATCAAATGGGGAAAGGTTACCATGTGGGTACATGTCTGTTACATGTTAATCACCATTCATCATTTTTTGTATCTTATAAAATTTATTTCCTGCATGCTAATATTCTGACTATTTTACTGTTCAAGTAGGGGACAAAACTACTGAAGAAAAATTGGGCCAAAATTCTGTAGGAAACAACAAAACTCAATATTGTATTTACTCTTTCGAATAGTCTTTGTGGAGTATAAAAATTTCAATAGAGTACATTTTTTACTAAGGGATGAAGAATAAGCATGGTAACACTTGATCTATCAGAATTACAATATGTATGTTCTGTTGCTAGTTAAGTTTCAAAATGTGAAAAAAGTAATGTTCTTTTTTTTAATGGGGTTGATGATATTTGATTTTTTACAGTTAATAGTTTTGAAAATCAGTCAAATAATAATATCAGTCTTTGCAGAAAAAAATTGATGCTAATATTTAATTTCATTATATTTTGTTTCTTCATAATGTGCATGTTGATATAATTATTTAAAAAACAGTAGTTATTAAATAAATAATTAATGTGTGTTTAACTATTAGACTTTTATACTCAAAATCTAGAACAATTTTAATAACCTTCTTACAGAGAAATAAATTGAGTGTACATTCATTATACTTAGGTTCTATTTTTACATAGGGATCCTTGGATTTCAATCCATTTTAGAAGCTTTTATAGTATATTCCAAGGTTAATGTTGTAAAAATGTACGCTATTTTTATATTTGAATTGGGATCTTTTTTGCTGTTTCACATCTTGTAGAAAATGTGTTGTATTTTTTGTGTTATTTTGCATATTAAGGTAATCATGTTCACTGGCATAAAGGTCATAAGTTCATGTTCATTATCAGTTTGAAAAGCATAGATTGTTTTGCACTTTGTTTTATGTGATGAAGTGTTTATTATATCCTTGCATATGTCTACATACTTATAATTAGCTCACCTGTTTAAGTAAGGACAAGAGTTAGTTATTGCCATCAGTAAGCATCTGTCACATGTCCATTTGTCTGTATGTCTGTCTCAATGCTTTTTATACGACCGCAAAAAAATTTTTGTGGTCGTATATTGGTATGACGTTGGCGTCGTCATCGTCGTCCGAAGACACATTAGTTTACGCACTCTAACTTTAGTTTAAGTGAATGGATCTCTATGAAATTTTACCATAAGGTTCAATACCACAAAAGGAAGGTGGGGATTGATTTTGGGGGTTATGGTACCAACAGTTAAGGAATGAGGGGGCAAAAAGGGGCCAAAAATAAGCATTTTCTAGTTTCCAGACAATAACTGTGGAACGGTGTATGGATCTCTCTGAAATTATACTACAAGTTTCCATACCACAAAGGGATGGTTAGGATTTGCTTTGAGGGGTTATTGCTCAAACCGTTTAAGAATTAGGGGCAAAAAAGGGGGAAAAACAAGGTTGTCCTCATTAATGGACAAATACTTTAGTACAAAACATAATTTAAAGCAGTGTAAGGGAGATAAATCAAATACATCATTGAAATTATCTCCCTTACACTGCTTTTAAATTATGTATAAAGTAATGGTTAATGAACAATTAAGATAATTTAAAACAGTGTAAGGGAGGTAATCCAAATACAACGTTTTGGTTACTTCCCTTACACTGCTTTTAAATTATGTTTAAAGAAATGCATATTTATAAAGGAAGACCAGTATGGCGCATTAGATTTGTAAAATCTTTGACCACATTTATTTATTTGTTATGCCGAATCTAACCGTGTATTTAGATTTTTAATTTTGGGTCCAGTTTTCAAATTGGTCTACATTAAGGTCCAAAGGGTCCAAAATTAAACTTTGTTTGATTTTAACAAAAATTGAATATATGGGGTTCTTTGATATGCTGAATCTAAACATGTATTTAGATTTTTGATTTTTGGCCCAGTTTTCAAGTTGGTCCAAATTGGGGTCCAAAATTAAACTTTGTTTGATTTCAACAAAAATTGAATATATGGGGTTCTTTGATATGCTGAATCTAACCATGTATTTAGATTTTTTATTTGTGGACCCCACTATCAAATTGGTTCATATTGAGGTCAAAAGGGTCCAAAATTAAACTTTGTTTGATTTCATCAAAAATTGAATTATTGGGGTTCTTTGATATGCCAAATCTAACCGTGTATTTAGATTTTTAATTTTGGGTCCCGTTTTTTAAATTGGTCTACATTAAGGTCCAAAGGGTCCAAAATTAAACTTAGTTTGATTTTAACAAAAATTGAATTCTTGGGGTTCTTTGATATGCTGAATCTAAACATGTGTTTAGATTTTTGATTATGGGCCCAGTTTTCAAGTTGGTCCAAGTTGGGGTCCAAAATTAAACTTTGTTTGATTTCAACAAAAATTGAATATATGGGTTTCTTTGATATGCTGAATCTAAACATGTATTTAGATTTTAGATTTTTGGCCCAGTTTTCAAGTTGGTCCAAATTGGGGTCCAAAATTAAAGTTTGTTTGATTTCAACAAAAATTGAATATATGGGGTTCTTTGATATGCTGTATCTTACCATGTATTTAGATTTTTTATTTGTGGGCCCAATATCAAATTGGTTCATATTGAGGTCAAAAGGCTCCAAATTAATTCAAAATTAAACTTTGTTTGATTTCATCAAAAATTGAATTATTGGGGTTCTTTGATATGCCAAATCTAACCGTGTTTTTAGATTTTTAATTTTGGGTCCCGTTTTTTAAATTGGTCTACATTAAGGTCCAAATGTCCAAAATTAAACTTAGTTTGATTTTAACAAAAATTGAATTCTTGGGGTACTTTGATCTGCTGAATCTAAACATGTGTTTAGATTTTTGATTATGGGACCAGTTTTCAAGTTTGTCCAAGTTGGGATCCAAAATTAAACTTTGTTTGATTTCAACAAAAATTGAATATATGGGGTTCTTTGATATGCTGAATCTAACCATGTATTTTGATTTTGGACATTGGACCATAATAGGTAAATTAAAAAAATTGAAGTTCTTAGACCACTTTCTCTCTGTGTCAGAAACCTATGCTGTGTCAAATATTTAATCACAATCCAAATTAAGAGCTGTATCAAGCTTGAATGTTGTGTCCATACTTGCCCCAACTGTTCAGGGTTCGACCTCTGCGGTCGTATCAAGCTGCGCCCAGCGAAGCATTTTATTAAAACATCTGAAATTATTGGGCCAATGCAAACCTTGTTCATTGTCCTTTGGATGGTTATTTTCAAACTGGTGATGATCACTTCAAACAATATCATGGCTGCACTGCTACTTAGAATTTTAAAAAAATTGACACAATTTCTGTAGCACTTTAATAGAGTTTACCAAAAAAATTCAAAGAAAAATACTCTTAAAAATCCAAAAGAGGACTTAAAGCAAGTTCCCAAATAATGTGGATAGTGCCCTCACAATTATTGCTGGAAATATTTGTCTTATTGAATCAATGTTAAGCATTAAAGTCAGGTGAACTGTACAGGCTCTCTGAACATGTATGAAACAAGAATACTCAAAATGAAAAGATATCAAAATATTTGAACTAAGCAGTGCTCATCATTATATAGACGAGAGACAAGTTCAATAAATTTGGAAAGCAACTGTTTTGTAGAATTTCCTTCTTGGACATTTAAGTGTTATGTCTTTAAGGCCTCTCATGAAATGAACATTGCTTTACAGAACACTAATACTTCTGAAAGGAACATTGCTTTACAGATAACTAATACTTCAGAAATGCATGCTTATGTCAATTTTTTATGATCAGTTGGATTAAAAAAAATGTTAAGATATAAATAAATGTAATTATTTCTGTTTCATAAGATCAAAATGGTAGTCCAAACCTGAAAAATAAAGATCACAGTAGAAAAAAGGAAGATGATGATACATTGGTTGTACGAAGGGTAAGTACAAAAATAATGGTTCAAAAAATATTTACAATTTTCTGATTGTTGCATTTCCTCATCTGTGAAAAATACCATTAAGGTCAAAGAGTGGTAAAAAAAACCTCATAAAATGACCAACTGAAGGCCAAAATTCAATTGATTTCACATTGCCCAAATCATGTGAGCTTTTTGTCATCATATTTATCAATGTCTTGTCCTTGCGTTCTTTTAGAACTTCATGGCTGACATGAATCTTGACTGGATATTGTTGTTTGCTTAACCCCCCATTGAAATTTTCCATCCATTATAAGGAATGGAATAGATTATCAATGCAAGTTTCTCAATTGGTAGATTAAAAAAAGTGATAGAAACAAAGAAGTAGCTGATAAATTTGATAGGATATGCTCAAAAATTTTGTTACACAGCCAATCAATCACCCATAGACCTCTCCAATGGTTGCTGCTCATATAAAGAGGGTGACTTTCTCCCAAGACATAGTAGGCATAGATGGTATTTACAATAAGAGAGTTAAGACATAGTATAACTGTGACTGGAGAAGCATGCTGAAAATGTTCTATATACCAAATGTGTACAGAAAAAAATATATGGAAGGAATATTTTGTTTTAATTTAGCATTTAAGATCGTTTAGTTGGTTTAAGGTAAGTGATACAATGGTATAATCCGTATTGCTGATTTCTGGTGGATGTAATAATGTCTTCCCACTCATTTTATGACAGTAGTATTCTTCTTGGACTATATTATTCCCCATTTATCATATGACAGTATTATTCTTCTTGGACAATCATGCATAATCTTAATATAGAGATGAAAACTATTTACATATTTTGTTGATCATTATTTTTTTTTCAAAGATCAACACTATTGATACATACAATTTTTCTAGCATGAAATATGAACAGAAAATATATTGGAGTTTTCCCCCTTGCATTGAAAGAAATACTATAATCATTACACCTGAATGGCCAAACATTTAATCCTAAGTGATACTCCAGAGGCATGTGAAAGAATAAATTGCATTTTTCTTCTCTTATTATGATTTGAGATTATACAACCTAGATTGACACTGCATGTCCTTACATGTTTATATACAAATGTAATTCTCATTCTGCACATATGATTTAATGCAGGATTATCTTACACTACACAATATTTTATCGCTTTGATAGTGGATTGGCATATCATATGTTATGTATAGCCAATGTAGTACATTGTAAGTCAAATATATTTACATGGATACATATATCTAAGTAATAGTGGCTTATCTAACTTTATTAAGTGATGTTAAGACATTTGATCATGCTAAAAAATAACATACAATTGACAAGTTTTCTAAGACAGTAATGTGTTTCTATCGCCTGTAATTTTAACCTTGACGTTAATTTATATCTTGGAGTATTATTTATAACACCAATGGTATTTAAGTTTAAACATATAATTATAAATTTCTCTGATGGTCTTTTATGTCAGGAAACTATAGTTTATTGTCAAGGGGGAGGTAACCTCATCATTATTTATACCTTTGATTCAGTCAACCTTCTTAAATCAGCGTAGAAAATTATAGCTTGTATTTTACCAGCTTTTCCTCTCATTCATCTAATACAAAATAACAAATGATTTTTACTTTTTTTAATACAAAAATTGTCACTGAGTAGGCGGAAACTTCTTTTTTAGATATAATATTAAGCAGGTGAAATATCTCTAGGTTGCATTCAGAACGACAAGCAATTGTTTGTGCAGACAATAAGAGATTTCTCAATACATATCATTTTATGAATGATAAAGAATTTTGTTGTGTATTGTAATAGATGAATCACAGGTAATATTATGACCAGGTGTGATATCAGGTGTTAAGGAGATTTAAAGGGAAATATTCTTACTGCGATCTAATATGAAAGAAGTTTTTTTGTTTAAAATCTTCTAAAGGCCACTGATCTATTTGTATGGTTTTAAACAAAATTTAATAAATTTGCTTACTGCAAGTAGTTGACACAAAACTGCAATAATACTGTTGCAGCTTCTAGGGTATAAGATAGAACATGTAAGTTTTATTTTCTCCCTGTTGCAGTATGTGGCTCTAACATGGTCAAATCTGACCTGCAACCTTGGAGGGTTTGGGGGACGACCTTGTGACCTGCCATCTCATTTAAAACTTCCAGTGACCTTTTAGAATGGTCAAAATCTTACTTAAAAGACTTACTTTTTGCTAAAAAGATAGGGCCAGAGGAATTTTCAAAAGCAACGTTGCAACCTAAGTAGCCTGGTTTATATGAGATCAGGAGTAATAAACTTTTTAAAAAATTGACATTCTTTTTAGGACAGTGATCATTATGTATACCTTATAATAATTGGACAATGAAATATTTACAATACAGTTTCTTTTGTTCAGTCAGTAACACAGGAATTGTCTTCTTCTTTCAACCTCAGGACTGTCTGTATCTGTATATGTTCCCCAAGTACAGTTTTTATACAATGAAAAAAAAACTTAATGAAAATAAAGTGTCAATCAATTGAAAAATGGTTTTCTGTGGACCTAATGTGAAATCAAAATGAGGAAATTTATCACTGTGACACTTGTGTTATTATTGAGGCTAGCTGAGCAGGTGCTTGGAATCATTTATCTTCATTAGTTAACATATTTTTATTGCGGCAGTTTTCATTCTTAGTTTGAAGTGACTTGGGTAATTTAATGAAGTGTGTCTTATAACTATGTATAATTGCCAAGCATGTAATGAAGAAAAATCTACTTATTGGTTTATTTAGACTATTTGTTGTGTTTTTTCATAAAAAATTCAAGTTGATCTTAAAAATGACTTTCCCATAATTTAACTAGACTTAGACCTATCATATAGTTTGACATATGGTGAGGACAATCATTATATCATGATATGTAAATGTCTTTGTGGAATCTGCCTAGACCTTCAAACTTGTCCAGACTAAGACCTATCTATAGTTTGACATATGGTGAGGACAATCATTATATCTTGATATGTAAATGTCTTTGTGGTGTCTGCCTAGACCTTCAAACTTGTCCAGACTTAGACCTATCTATAGTTTGACATATGGTGAGGACAATCATTATATCTTGATATGTAAATGTCTTTGTGGTGTCTGCCTAGACCTTCAAACTTGTCCAGACTTAGACCTATCTATAGTTGACATATGGTGAGGACAATCATTATATCTTGATATGTAAATGTCTTTGTGGAATCTGCCTTGACCTTCACACAATGTTGTAGAATGTAGTGGCATCAGAATGACTTAATTGTCTGAAGCTTAATACTTTAGAAAGTAGAAGTGTTAGATATTTTGTACATAGATTACAAGGGTCTGAAGTTTCTGGCTAGTGGCATATGTCAGTGGTTCAATGACTTATTAAAGTCAACATTAAGTTTTCAGGCTAAGGTCAGTTTGTCATTAACTATGAGTAGAAGTTCAACTATATTTGGTCTGAAGAATCATTGTAAGGTTAATATCTCTGACAGGGATCACATGACATTGACCTTGACATTATATTTATGGTTCAGTGAGCAAAGGCAAGTTTTTGTGATACAGTCAGGTACTGTATGTAAAAGGCTAACTGTAATTGATCTATAGAATCATAGCATGGTGGATAGGTGTATCTGAAAGGGGACACTTGATTCTGGCATAATCAAGAAGACAAGACATTTAAGCATGTTTGCAGTTGTTTTGTTTGGTTGCTGTCACTTTAATATATATCATACCCCACATTTCATTTTATTTAACTTTTATAGGCTTAGAGTTACACAGGGGTTTCTAAACATTAGGGTTACAGACTTCTTTTGGCTTTTATGTTTCCATGATGCAGAAAATTGAAACTGGTATGATATGGTATTTAAATCTGAAAAAGTTCAAAGCTCTTGTCTGTAATAGAGGAAGTTCCAACTGTAAAAACAAACCTGTATAATCTCTTTCAGTTGGAGTCATACATTTTTTCTGAAAAATAGAATAAAAAAAATCCTTTAGGATTTTAGAAGTTTGAAAATCTGGATTATCCATTCTCTACAAAGATAAAATTAATGGTCAGAAATTAATAAAGATTTGCCCGTACAAGTACACATGACTTGGTCAGAAATAAAGATTTGCCAATACAAGTACACATGACTTGGTCAGAAATAAAGATTTGCTGTTACAAGTACTTATGACTTGATCAGAAATAAAGATTTGACATTACAAGTACACATGACTTGGTCAGAAATGAATAAAATCTTTAATGAAATAATCAAACTTGTCATTTTCATGTCAAAATCCTTTTTATATTTGAAGAAAAATACTTGAAATGAGTAATTCCTAAATTCTGTCTTTGAACTTGATTGAATAGACATGATAGGACATTTCAAAAAGCTCTTTTTGTAATGAATTTTGTCCATAAATGCAATGAAAAACATGCAACAAAATCGTTGAACTAGCATCATTGAGACATGTCATCTGAGTGTTTAATTACATATGCAATTAGCTAGGGAAACACAATCTTCTGGTTGATTGGGATGATTCATGGAAGTAAATGAAATTGGAAGCTGAAAATCGAGACAAGATAATAAATTAAGCGAAATTAGAATTCCTGTAATGAAACAAAAACCTCAGTGACATATGATGATGAGCCAAGAACACTAAAAAGGACAATAGATTAATAATTTATTGAATTATGTTTTCTTGGTTTTAACACAGTAATAACTTTTAAGACTCTCTGCTTCTCAAGAGAGAACGGCAGGATTACGTCTTTTACAACCAAAGAGAATGGATGATTATATATATTTTACTTTTTAACTGAAATCTGCTTCCTCAAAGCCATAAAGTTTTTCATTTTCAGGAAGTAGTATATCTTTGACTTTATCATCGTTAACTCTCTTTTTTTGTTCTTATATAAATGTCTTATTAAAAAAGGAATAGATCTTATTTTAACCAAAACAGCTTTTGTTTGTTAAGTGTAGTTTTATTAATATGTAGATTTTCCAGCTACAAAAATACAGTAACACTTGTCTTTCTGAGGAGTTTTTATTACAGTATAATTCTGTTGAGTCAATACAAAAGTTTGAAATAGTGACCCTGTAAACCTATTGTATTTTTTTCCTTGTTACTGAATTCCTCAGATTAATTGAAGGAAATAGATACTAGTAAATATGCTGTAATAAACATCATGGCGACAATTACTAGTATTATAGATATAACTGTGCCCAAGTTTTTTCTGCTGGAAATAATGTAAGAGAAATATAGACCAAGGTGTGTTAAAATCCTTGTTTGAATTGTTATAGCATAGAAGTATTTGTTCTTACCATTGTCAGCTAAAGTCATCAGACAGGTTAAGAAAGCCATTTATTTGTAACCACACAAAATACCAGTAATTATCACAACAATTATGTCGCCTAGATGCACTAAATTATCATAAAAAATAAAAGTATCAAATCCCAAAAATGTCTTTTGAACAAAGGAAAACTTATGTTACACTCTTCAGGGTAAAAAACTTCTGGTTTAAGATAAAAAGTAAAACTAAAGTTTAGAAATGTGAGATTTAGGACAAAGTATAAACAACATGCAATGAATTGATTCAAGAAAGTTGATTTTATCACTTATTTAAGATAATTACTTTTAAGGTTCTCAATTTATATAAAAGAATGAGTAA